GCACTAGGGGTAAACTTCGCGAATTGGGCGGTGGATTGGGAGGTCTGCGTGGTGGGTTCAGACTGAAATGTGCCAGTACTTCCACATTCGTTAGGATGGCGGATTGCGGTTCGAGGATCTGAAAGCAAGCTCGACTTTTGAGTTAAGTTTTGTTTCCAATGTAGTTTCTGATATAGGTATTTTCTGATTTTGAGGGTTTTAGGATTTTTGTTATCATTTCCTCTCTGGATCGAGCTCACCTTCATGATTGTATGTAGACAGACAATGGATAGTGTTACAGGCTGATTTGATGGCGGGAACGAATATTTTTCCTTTTGTCTGCTGTGGAGGCTGGCAGAAAGGTTCAAGGCGGTGAGCGGCAGCTATAAAGTGTAGATGGTGAAAGATGAATACTACAAGTATTATTGCTCAAAAGTGAGATTAGAAGACGGAGAAATGTCTTTATCTAGCTTTCCCACTTAAACCTTTTTTAAAAAGAATTTAAATTTCAGAAGCAAAATGGAAAACTACCCTATTTTTTCTCCCAAGCACCACCAACCTGCGCCTTAATTGACAAAAATAGACAACAAAGTATCAAAAAGAGAAAGAAACAATATACTTCAAAAAAGGACAGAAGACGAGATGAAAACCAAGAAGCATAAATCTCACCATTCGAAATGCAAAAAGCCTGGATAAGCAGACGTATCAGGTGGAAAATGAAATAGAAGATCCACAAGGAAGCATGATATCATACAGAAGAAAACGGAAACAATGGAAAACACAAAAATAGTGGAAGCATATGATTTCCTTCACACTTTACTCTTCTTCTTCGTTTTTTTCTCATCGTCCTCCTCAGCCCGTTTTCGCTTCTTACCAGCCTCCTTTTCCGCTGCCTTAGCAGCCTTCTTCGCTTCCTTTTTCGCCTTTTTCAAGTCCTTCTTGCTAATATACGATGGGTTCCCTTCGCTATCAAAAACGATCTCCCCTCGCTCGAGTTTGCGTTGATACCGGCTAACGCTGAGTCCTGCCTTTGCAGCCATTTCCTCCACACTCGGACCACTGCCACTCTTCTGCTTCTTCGATTTTTTATCTTCCTTCTTAGATTTCTTCTCTAGAGACTTTTCCTTCGACTTCTTCGATTTCTCTTCCCTGTCCGACCGTTCTTCAGATGACGCATTAGCATCAGCCATCGACCCATTGGTTGCGGACTTATCCGCCATCTCCACATCTTCATCCGACTCTTCCTCACTCTCACTTCCATCTTCAGATTCCTTAATTTCCTCAACCAATTTCTTTTTCTTGTCCTTCTTCTCTTTCTTCTGCTTCTTTGGCGATGATTCGGCAAGGTCCTCGTCCCCAGCAAACCCATCCGCATCGGGGTTATACTTTCTAGCTTCGTTGATCTCCCATTTCTTAGGCTGGGCTGTAGGAATACCGTTTGGTGCAATACCGACCCCTCTTGGCTTTATGGGTTTGCCTTCCATAGCCGCCAGTTTCTTCTCGAGATAGTACCGCGATTGCATACCGAGAGCAGCCTTCTCTTCCTCAGTGGGTTCATTTCCATCAGCATCGACAGGCCAATCAGTCAAGGCATCGACGCGAAGACCAATAGCTGCCTTTGCTGCCAAATAACGAGCCATCTTACCCTTGTTTTTGCCGGTGGCCTGTCCGATCAGGGACGCATGGTAAATTAGGCCATATTTGGGGGTGTCATGCTTGGTCTTCAAAGCACGGAAAAGAGCCTTTTCCGCTCCCAGAATTTGAATGGTACTGGCAGGACTCTTGGATAGGTTTACCAAGCTGCCAGCATGAGCGATCAATCGAGCCCCGACCAGTTCTCCCACCAGCGCTGTAAGATTGGGTGCGATGGCCGTCATTCGGGCAGCCAGATAGCTTGCAAGCTGTTGGCGGTACGTCGAGAAGCCAATGACCTCCTCCGCCAGGGCCTGAATATTATCAAGATCTTCGTTGGAGATTTCCGTACCCATCGACCGATCCGCCGCGGCCTTTACAACAGCCTCAATTTCCTCTGGCAAGATCTCGGCAAGATCGGTTTCCCCAAAATTAGAGCGCATACCCACTTTTAGCACCACCTTGGAGTAGGCGATGTTGTCGTTCAGAATCTTGGCGAGCTCCGGGAAATGCCAGCCGTACCACTCCTTGACGCGCATGGCGTAAGTGTTGAGTTCCTTGTCGAGGTCATCAAGCAAGGCAATGGCCTGGACAATCATGGTGTCGATTTTGTCGGGGGAGAATTTGAGTTTGTGGCGGGCTAGAGAGTGGGACAAACCCAGGGACATAGTGGACATATCCCCTGGTAAGAGGCCTGGGATCAGAGTGGGGAGGTGCTCCCGGATTGCGCGGTAGAGATCCGTGGTTGTGGAGTCTGCAATTGGCTGGATGGCGAGGGGAAGTTTTGCAATGGCATTTCCTTCACGCATAAGTGTTAGCTTACATGGCCAGTTGTATATTCTGGGCATCTCACCAGTGAATTTGAGAGAGGAGACTCACCAAGTTTTGGGTCTGCAACAGCCAAGGAGACCTTCTTCTCATCTTTAATAGATTCAAGAAGATTTGCCAATCGAGGTGTAACTTTCCCTTCCACTAGAGACGCGGTTTCTTCCAAAGCTGTGGCCGCACTATCGAACTTTTGGAAATTCTTCAATTTCATACTGTGCTCAATGCTGTCAGCTGCATCCGTACTTTTTAGAGAACGTGACACATAACATATTGTAGAATAGAATATGTTCCACGCAACAATCCTATAGCCAAACAACTTACAGATTCGACACACCCTCCGCGGTCTGAGTTTCCGCTACAATATCATGGCGCTTGAGTAGCTTCTTGTCCTTGGCCTTGAGCAGCGCATAGCCAGCGCTGGTTTCTGCGAGGATAAACAGCGTCATGGCAGCAGCAGGAGATTATATAATTCAGGGTAAGTGTCGTAGTTAGTCTTCACTTCCAAGGTTATTTATTCCCTTCTTGCCGTTTACAGACGAGACACAGAGGAGAATAAATTGACCGCACTCCAGGCCCAGCACCGGAAAGAGCAGCCCCGGAGAAACAATTGTTTCCCAATAACTGGATTGGACTCGACGCGGTAGGGGAAGTCGCAAGTGGGTTGAATGGGTACGGGGGAAGGAAGGTGGAAGGGTCAAATTTTTGATTTAGTTCCCTTTTTTTTTTTTTTTTTTTTGTCCAAAGAGGAAATTTTGAAGTGTTCGTGTGGTTGGCTGGGATCTAACTGCTTAGATAATATATCACGTGGAGATAAGCTTGGGTCCCTAGCCAAATAAAGCTAGATCGGTTTTAAGGCTTAATTCAAGCCTCTTGGTAGCTTTTGACGACATCGACATCAATGGATGTTAGTAGTCGAGGGTCAAAAGATATCGGTGGTTAGAGATATATGCGATCCAATAGCCCGTGATGGAGGGCTTATTTTTCAACGTGAATGGCGGGTATGTATCTTTGCACATGGTATCACTCTTTAGCTATGTTGCTTTACTGAACTCCAGTTGCAAGGTATATCGAAGGACTCGTTCGTGGTTATCGAAACAGCCTGCTCACCTCCCAACACTACGGAAACCTGACGCAATGTGATACTATCGATGGTATGTTATTCCCGCTTGGTCCCACATTCTACAAGATAAAGCATTTTACTGGTAATTAATCGTATGTTATATGAGTCCGGACTAACATCGGTTGTTTGACATCTAGATGTCAAGATCCAACTCGGCCCGGCCTATGGTGACTTTCTGGCCGCTCTCCCCCCAAATCCCTCCACCTCCGCCCTCGCTGGAAAAACCACAGAGAAACTCGTGGCGGAATTCCGCTACATCCAGGCCCAAGCTACTGGCTCCATTGCAAGGTTCATGGAATACCTGACCTACGGCTACATGATCGATAACGTCGCCTTACTCATCACGGGAACCCTACACGAACGTGATACACGAGAACTGCTTGAGCGATGCCACCCGCTCGGCTGGTTCGAAACCATGCCCGTCCTCTGTGTTGCCACAAACATCGAAGAACTCTACAACTCCGTCCTCGTCGAGACGCCGCTCGCGCCTTACTTCAAAGGCAGCATCAGCCACCAGGACCTGGATGAATTGAATATCGAAATTGTCCGCAACATGCTGTACAAGAACTATCTGGAGGACTTTTACAGATTTGTCAACTCCGAGCCGGGACTGAAAGGGTCCCCGACTTCTGAGATTATGTCGGAGGCTCTCGAGTTCGAAGCGGACCGTCGCGCCATTAATATCACTCTGAACTCCTTCGGGACGGAACTTTCCAAGGCGGAGAGGAAGAAACTCTATCCAGAATTCGGCAAACTATATCCGGAAGGCTCACTGATGCTGTCACGGGCTGATGATGTCGAAGGGGTTGCACTGGCTGTCAGTGGGGTTGGAGATTACAAGGCCTTCTTTGACGCCGTGGGGCTTAGCCAGGGCGGAGCTGGAGGGGCCGGTGGGGCCGGTGGCATTGGCGGTGCGGGGTTGGAAAATATCGCTGGTGGAGGTAGCAGTGACGGGAGGAGTTTGGAAGATATGTTCTATCAGAAGGAGATGGAAATTTCGAAGCTTACTTTTACCCGGCAATTTACGCCGGCTATCATATATGCATGGGTTAAGCTGAGGGAGCAGGTACGTTTTTTAAATTTCTATTTTATATTTTGCCTCGTTTCGTTTTGATTTCTTTTCATTTCGTCCGATCTGTGAATAGCGGATTTTTCAATGTGGAATGCATATTCTAACCTTGTGCAATTTGGTCTTCCCGGATTTAGGAAATTCGAAACATCACTTGGATTGCAGAGTGCATTGCTCAGAACCAGAAGGAGCGGATAGGGAATTATATTAGCGTTTTTTGAGATATTGCCATTTTCGTTTCACCCGGGCTTTCATGTACTCTCTGGCTCCGCGGTCTTTTACTTTCTGATGGCGTTCACTTTGTTTTCTATTTGGGGCATTTTCCCTCCCTCCATCTTCCATTTCATTTCTTCTCCTGGGAATTAAATCTCTTATTTATGTCTAGGCCGGGCTCCTGTCTTTCGTTCCTAATCTTCCTCCGATTATTAACCTTTGTAGTTTTTATTTCACATTTTATCAAATTTATCAACACCGTTGCATATATGAACCCAGCCAAGTCCTGCCAAATTTTCGAACTTTCGATCATCTCTGATAACATCGACCTACCCTACCGTTTTCCCGTTTTTTGTTTCACCATCTCTGAGAAGAAACCTGCAAGTCGCCCCATTTTAACCATCCTATCAATTCCGCCCCGCGTTTCAAAGTTTCTCCACCACACCTTGGCGGCACATGTATATCCATGGAGCGACATGGATTCAACATCAGTCTTGAAATCATTCCTTGCCAACCTTGAAGTATCTTGGTACTCCGCAGTAGACTTCGTACATAGGACCGTCCATAGGACTCTGAGCCGAGGTACTTCCAATTCCTGGGCTGCGCTCACATAAGCACTAAACGAAGTCCCTGCCCTGTCCCGCTTTTGCTTGATTTTTTGCGAAGGTTTCTGCTAATGCTTTTGCTCAGGGTTCAAGATGTCGATCTCTGTTGGGGTGTGGCTTGCAGCACGATGGTATGTTCAGTACATACATAATCTGTACGCTGTATGCTCCTTGAAGTTGGGAGGTTGCTGGACCATCCTATGAACAAAGGTAAGGTCTTCAGAATCGCGCCTGATGCGCGAATCAGATGGGTGTGAATACATTGATAATTTGTGGAATAGCCGTCTACATGAATAGTAGCCTTCTTGCAGGACGGGACTCGACCATAAACGCAAGACTGTGCATGTCTTCCTAGGAAGCCTAGGTGCGCATAGACGATGATGGTGGCTAGAATTTTCGGGGTTTTCTGATGATGAGTGCTGCAATTTGTTCTGACGCCATCAATAGGTATCGATTCAGGTCTCTTGGGTTCATAGCGATAAATGACACAATATTGAATATTACCTATGTTTGCTGTTGTGTGTGCTTTCCCATGTCTTCCCAAAATCTACCAAGGCATACATTTTTCGCTGCCTTTACAGTATCAAGCAACTTCTACAAAACATTTGCCCCCAACATATGGTCTGAAGCTACGTAACCAATAAAGGGAGACAGCGGCGAGGGACCGAGAGTTCTTTGAAACTAGGAGTTATTCATATCATACCGCACGACTATGATGATCTCGCGCCGGCTATCTTTGAGTACTGAAGTGCGTGAATTACTCAATCGAGCTCCAATCGAAAATATTTAACGAGACCCGTGCGCTGTCAACGAGAATTTTTGACGGCTCTCCTATGTACGCAGCAGGGTGACAGGAAATAGGATGGCGAGGATGAAGCAAGCTCACTGTCATATTCGTACTCCCAAAATTCGCCGTCAAGATTTATTTATTGGGGAATAGTGAAGAAAACATCTATATAAAATAACCTTTAGCTACACTTTATTTTCAATGTTCTCTTACAGAGTGGATAATTTATAAAGAGATGTCATATCACAGAGTCTCCAGGCTCTAGCATATCAGCTACTCCAACAGGCCACGCTCTTTATAGTTCAATTCCAGGATAAAACCAACCTCAACATCTATACTCCGTAATATGAAAGCGTATAGGCAGTATAAAGGCTCCAGCTCTACAGACAGATAAATAGACTGGTATTTTGTATGTATGGATATGTATCTGTTCCTCCTTCCAACGAGTCATAACACTTGGCCATGGCGCATTCTCATTGACCGTCTTGTATGTCCACTAGTTATTCGGCGAAACGCTTGCCAAGAAGGACGAGTGATCCTGGTTCCTGGCAAACCGCCAGTTCGACGGGTGGCATTCATTGGCAGCAGTGGCGGGTTTCTTAGACGGGCCCGGGGATTTACCCAAGACCAGGTACGGAGCAAGGCACAGGCGCAGAAGCCAAGTCCAGGGAATCCGCGACCTGGAATCTCGGAACTACTGATTCACAGTTAAGTATTGGACAGACAGGTTGCTCAATATTGGGGAACAGCGAGAGAGCTATGAGCCGTAAGGGGTATCCCTTGCGGAGTTGGGAAATAATGAAGACTGTCGTTGTGGTTTAAAACAGCTGCTGATTTTGACCCGCGGTTGGGCATTCTCCTCATTGTCATCCGCATCCTACATATCAAATCAAGGGCCGTATGGACAGCGCAACCTGCGGTTTGGGACTGCCGCTAACTGCCCACCTAAAACACTAGGGGCTCAAGGCTCACTGTCCATGATCGGCACATTTCGAACAAGAACACCCCCTCCGAAGAAAACATCATGTCAGCAACCGGGCTGTCGTCTCTGCTGAGTTCGCTCCGGGAATTCCGCCATAAACTCCTTCAATAAACTTTACTATCCACCAAACAGGAGCGTTGACAGCCTTTTCAATGCGCGCACACACTCGAAGTGAGGAATGAGAATAGTGACTGGAAGCCAATCCTTAGCACAAAGCAAATGGAATGACGGTGACAAGTTGACTGACTGACTGACACCACCATGAACCCAGGACATCAGAATTGCGATCGTCAGGAGCTACTCATGCGGCATCAACATCATCGGTGCAAAGCGGCATAAACCAGTTTCGTTGGCCAGCACATGCCTGCCTCCTGAACTCTGATTCAATTAAGCTTGTATTCTTTTGTATACTCAGGACATGCGTACCACCTGATATTCTTGTTATCATTGGCTTTCAGCACCAAAGCGACGCAATTCGCACGTTGAAGGACTTTGTTTCCTTTTCTCTTCGCTTTTAAAACGGAAGAATCAATCCATGGCATGGACTACAGGGTTGAGAATCAGTGTAGTTGGTCCAGGAGCAAAGATGCTCTCTGTACCTGCATTTCTCTTCCTGGTTTCTATGGTTTCCTTTTTGCTTTTTACTCCTATCTCTGCCCCTTTGCGAGGGATATACGGAGTAGTGATACACAGCTATTCTCCTGATGCGGAGGAGGTAGAAAAACCTATTTGATTACTGATACCACTTTTTTCTAAGGGATATTATGGCCTTCTCATGGATTTACTAGTTGCCTCCTATTGTCATTAAGTTTCGGTGGAGAGGAAGAGATAACACCCCAGCTAATCACATTTTGGAAACAGGATGCCTGCACAGCGCTCCTAGCTTCGCAACCGTTTATCTACTCCGCAGCGTAAAGTTGATCAAGGGTTGTTGATCACTATTTCCTTCGAAGCTTAGAAATTTCCTTTGTTTCGGGTGCTGTCGATGTCACTTTTGCTACACGGGAGAGTGTTCTGTATATAAGAGACGGCTAAGAAGCACTTGGACATACTTCACCGTCTTCTCTTCCTTCCTTCCCTTCTTCCCTTGTTCATCTGACATACAGTCTTTTTCGTGACGTATCCAACCTCCTTCATCTTTCTGAGAAAGAATACCACGCTCTTTTACTGCTCCCCAGTCGTTCATTCGGAACTCACGTATATACGCTTGTTGATTCTCCCAGCCCTTTCGCAGAACACCCAATCACTTCTTCAGCCATGAAGCTCTCTGTCGTCTCCGCCGCATTTGCCCTTGCTTGCTCCGCCATTGCCGCGCCAACTCCCCTTGTCCCAGGGCTCCCCCAACTTCCAGGCATCGGGTCGCTGCCCTCCGTCGATGGAATTCCTGATGCCCTCGTCGGCCAGCTTGTCCCTTCAGTCACCAGGAGTATCGATGCTGCCGGTTTGGGATCACTTTTGGGTCCTCTCCAGGGACTTCTGGGTGGAGCATTGGGCGGACTTCCTATTCCACTGAAGGCCCGCCAGGATGCGGAGTCCGAGATCAACGGCTTGAGCCCTGAACAATCTGCGCAAATGATCCAGTCCATCAATGAAATTGCATCAGCCCTCCAGGTTGATAAAGCCGTCAACGGCAAACTACCCGAGGTCCATGGTTTCTCGAAGGAGAAACAGGAGCAGCTTCTCGGAGCCTTCAAGGCCCTCGTATCCCAGCTTGCCCCTTTGGCCAAGAACGGCCTGAAGGACATTGCCCCCAAACTTGATGCACTTAATATCCCAGTTCAGGGCCTTACCACCCGTGATCCTCTCCTTGAGAGCCTCCCAATCGTTGGCGGCCTCCTCAATGGTGGCACTAGTAGCATCCTCAGCGTCGTCGCTGGCCCCCTCAGCATCCTCACCCAGGTTCTCGGTATGACCGGAGTCGCACCACTTCTTGGGCCCGTCCTCTCCACCATCAGCGGACTTGGCCTTCCTCTTTAAAGGTGAACTTTGCATTTACACCATTCGTTCTCCCCAACGTCATGTAGAGGAGATTTTGTTTGACCAGTCCTCAATCCCTAGGTTTTATCTATTGCGCTGAATAACGTCACTTCCGGCAGGAAATTTCACCATTCTAGCAAAACCATGATCCCCGCGACACGCTTCGGCTAGCAATAGCTTCGACTAGGAGAAAGAAACCCCACAAGAGACTCTTCATTATCCCCCAACCATTTCCATCTTTAATTCTTTTCTTTTCATACCCGCTTCTTTTTCCCTCTCCCGGGAGGAGACTTAGATATCTATTTTTTGTGTAAATCAATCGTGGAACTAGTTTTAGCGGCTAATAAAACAAGGCTTTTTTTATTCCATTTATACTGATACTTGTACTTGTGCTATATATAACGCATCGTCTGGAATCCTCTCAAACTACCTTATTAAATGCATTCTTAACTTTTCCATAAACTGAATTTTTGCATGGCTCCGCGATGCGCTAGAGATTCTCAAGGTATGAAATTGATTTTATTTTGACTAATTTTATTGGACTCTTCTACCCAGCCTATTTATTTATTCTGTACTATACTCATTCCCATACAGTTTATCTAAAAGTATTATGCTTTTAGTAATATTCTTTATCTTTGCAGCGCATTACTCTAGCTCCTTCCATGTTGCATGCGAGGATTTAAGAAGGGGGGGTGTCTGACAATATCCCCGGTGACTAAGAGGGTTTTTCCCCCTTGTTATAATTATAGCGACATGCTTAAGAAAGCAACTCAAGGAACATTTTTTCGCTGTCTGACGATTAGTTCTGGATAGCTTCAAATATCCATGGATAATCGCGGTATACGTAATATCAAGGTTATACTTTGTTTCAATCCTCAGCTGTGGTAGCAATAATAACTAAGGGGCATTTTTGAATAGTCTCACTCTCATGTACATACTTATGTCAATATTTCATCCTATCTCCCGAACTACCACTATTAAATACGGACGACTCGGCTATCATTTCATTCAGTGAAGGTTTTTTTTTACTTTGCCGCAATAACTATTGTTTCAAAGTTGAGCTTCAATCCTCAGTCAGGAAGGTTCTGGTAGCTTCCTACTGCAGCCGTTGGAAAACTACCAATCGGACAGTATAAATGAGTAAGTGGGTGATAGGCGATTTGAACGCATGGCTAATTGTTAACTCTATGCCGGCTCCCTGAATAACGGAAGTTGAGGAATCCTTTGTGGTTCTCTCTCGTTTCTCAGACGGCGGGGTGACACAGCGCTGTGTCACATTCATATGGCGCAAGAGGCACAGTTATCGGTTCCCTTGGATCATCAATTTTGTTGTTGAAGTTCGTCGTTTGGGGACACCACAAATCGAAACCTTCGCTCTGAAATATCATACTTGGAAAGCTCTGTGTTTGTACAGCACATGTAAATTACATATGTTTCTACTTCTCTTTTCTACTTCATTTTCATACAGCGTGCTTCACGGTAATGTAGGAATCATGTTTACATTTTTTTTTTTTAACATCTTTTTTAAAAAGTTTAACACCAAATCAAACTCCCATATTCGTTCGCACTTCAACAAGTAGTGGGGCGGCATTTTTATATCAAGTCTATTAATTGTGTCAAGGCCGGAGCATCCTGAAAGATCCGCAGCTTGTTTATGTTCCTAAATATCGAGAAAGTTTACCAGAGGAAAATAGTTCCGCCCTAAGAACAATCACAATATATGTTCAGATATGTCGAACGTAGAAGGCGAAAAACTCCATAACACCAGAGCCAGCACCAGGGCTGTGTCGAACCCCATTTTCCCCCATTGATTACAAGAAAGTACAGAAGATATCATAAAGTACAAATATAAACGATAATACCCCATCAGGCTTAGGGGGAAACGGGGGAATTGGAAAAAGGAATAAAATCACAAATCATTAAACGCCTCCCATCTCCACTTCCACCCCCACAATCTCGTCATCCACCTCTTCCTTCCGACGTAAGAATGAAGCTTCTTCAAAATCAACAGCCTGTGCCACAGAAACAACCCCAGGGTCGTTATTCTCTTGCCCGCAATGACGTGCTTTGTGCGGTTGCGGTTGCTGTTGCTGTTGATGATTTTGATATCTGCCAACCTTATGCGCCAGTCTCGGAAGCAGGATTGGTCGTGACGGTGAATTTGCAGGCGTGCTGACGACAGGGATCTTGGACTTCCACATCTGGTGGAACCCGCGCGGGAAGTTATTGGAATATTCGTCGTCGTCGCCTTCGCTGTCTGAGTCTGCACAGTCGGGTTCCAAGCGTCGTTTGTTTGTGTTAAGTGTCGCTGGCGGAATTGTGGATCCGATGGTGGATGAATCTGTAGATTTTTGGCTGCTTGAGGGGAGGGCGCACTGGTTCCATTCCTCATCTAGTGCGTGATTGTGGTGTATTATCTGATGTGTATCTGAAGGATGCTCTGGGAAGGTCTGCACTGCAAGATTGCCAGTTTTCAGCACACCACAAAAGGGTGCTAGTTCTGCGTATGACGTAGACATCGTTCGCGTTGGGGATATAGTTGAAGATGAGCCTGTATGAGATATATGGAAAGCCGATTTTGTGGCTGTTGTTTTATAACCTTCTGGTACTGATTTGCGAACGCGCATGCCGACGGTCAGGAGGGAGGACTGAACTTTGTGAGGAAGTACGGGAGCTGGGGAGTGTGTTGGTGCTGCATAATTGAAATGCGAGGAGCCATTGGAGGGAGATTCCGTATTGCCGGATGAGAAGTATTTGGTTATGGGGACTTGGAATCGCCGTCGTTTAGAGGTGGAGCAGCACAAAGAGGTGGTGGATTGTGGTTCCATGATGCTTGGAAATTTAAGATTGCCGGATTATAGCCACGGAGATGCTTTGCTGGGATTGTTCTGAGCTGTGTTGAGAGTTATTGAGTCGTCATTGAGACAGACAGTAGGAGGGCTGTCGTGGGTCAACGATTGCTGAAAGACTCCATCAAGCCAGAAAGTGGCTGGAAACTTGGACAAGGTTGGGAGGAGCCAATCAACGTGTTGGGATTAACGCGTCACGAAATATCCACGCGAAGATGCAATTTATCCTCTTTAGGACTAGTGCGTAGTGCGTAGAATCTTCAGCATCAAATGGATAGTTAGGAGTGAGAACAAGCCGTCCGGGCTCAACCCATGAGACATCATACGTTTACCCGAATATTGTCTCGATAGGGTCTCTTGAGAAGAACAGAACGAGTAGCCACAACAAGTATGTCGAGCTGTCAAATAGGTACATTCAATTACTCTATTCCAAAAGTCGTCCCAAAACCGTCGCGCCACTACTTTATACAACCCATCCTTCCTTAAATATCCCCCTTTTTACTTCATTTTCTTTTGAATATTCCAAACCCTTCCTTTATGAATAATTCCCCCTCTTCCCTCCCTTCTTCTGCCTGTCAATGTGCGCCTTCAGCACATTCCTCGTTTCCACCAGACTCCTCTTTCCCTTTCTCTTGGCCTTGCCCAACGTCATCAGGAAATTCTTCTTCCTCGCCTTTTCCTTGTTAGTCGTGCTCTTGCCCTGCGCCTCTTTCCTCTCCTTCTTCTTTGCAGTCTTGCTCTTGTGTTCCGCGCGATCGGTCTTCAGCTCATTCATCCGGGCGATTTTCTCTGCTCGTGTGGCTTTACCAGCGGAGAGTGCCGCAAGTCCTTCGATTTCGGTAGCTGTGAGTGGATCATCCATGTGTCTAGTGGCGATTGCGGCGGCTTGCTTTTGACGCTGGGTTTTGTTTTGTGGAAGAAGAGATGAAACGTTTTGTTGGGCGCGGAGCTCGGCAAGTTTAGCAAGATCTGCGGGCGTCAGGATACGCGTTGTTGCAAGGGTGGAAGGTTTCTTTTCTTTCTCCTTTTGTGGCTCTTCAGTTGTGGCCCGTGATTCTCCATTCGACTGGGTAAGCTTTGCTTTTTTGGCTGCCGGGCCTTCGTTTTCGGAGTCGCTGACTTCGATATTGATCTCCTCATCACTATTAACATCAATCCAACCTCCGGAGTCATCGCTTTCATCTCCCTCGGCTACATCCCAAGCAGCCCAATCTTCGTCCTCGCCTTTTTCATCTCCCTCCTCGCCATCAGAGGGCAGACCCTGCTCGCGCCTTCTCTTGCGTCGCTCCTCTTCCTTCCATTGCTCTAGTAACTCAATTCCTTCAATCTCGCCAGTATCTTCCTCTCCAAAACGAATATCCTTCCGCTCCCCAGTACTTAGCTTGATTGTTGCATTCTTTCCTCGATCCCTTTTCTTCAGTAGCTCTGCACCGACTTCCCGGTAGAGGCTCAACAACCCCTTTGCAGCCATCATAACACCTTTATCCTTACTTTTCCGATACATGACCAAATCCTGGAGCAAGGTGTCGTTCATGGCAAGTGGCTGTCTGACGCATATTTCTCTAATAGCGTTCAAACCAGCGGATGCAACCTCAGCGGCGGCGGCTTCAGACACGAACTCGTTTGCAATTTTCTGAACCAGCGGCTCGAGAACATCGGGCGGAACGAGTGGATGCGTTGATTGGGCCAGCGATGCCAGAAATGAAGTGACGGATGGCTGCTTTGGTGTTAGGTACTTGAGAAAGTATGAGTATAACTGAATCATTGTAAGCTTATGTAGGCCCACAAGCCGGGAGACAAGCTGTAAGACGAGCAATTTCTGCTCCAGATTAAGCTTGGACTTCGTATTTTGCAGGTGTTTCGAGAACAGCGTCTCCGCGAAGCCCTGTGGGTCATGCAGAAGATGAAAAGCAGAAAAATTCAGCGGGTGCGGTTGGTTTTTCTTCTTCTCCTTCTTCTTGACTGACGCGATAGCTTTCTCTACCTGGCGCGCCTTCTTCTTGCTCTTCTTATTAATTGCAAACTGATGGCGTATTTGGGAGATGTCATGCGTTTCATCATCGCTGCTCTCGTCCTCCAGCTCTTCTCTTTCCTTGTCACCGCCAAGAAAAAACCGCACGCCGCCGACAGCCACTTTCTCATTATCCGCCAATGCAGCTTCTTTCATGATCTCCACCGATTTCGCATCGCTCCATATTTGCCGCTTCCATAGTTCCCTTGTGATTTTTATGGCCCAGAGAGCTTTCACGGACGTTCTATCGGAGGTTACGAGGTTGAAGAGGACGGTTTGGATGGTTTTGTTGAGTTTGTGATTTATAGTTTTCGAATTCGACGTGCGCAGGTCGGAGAGGATTTTCTGGAATAAGAAGGCTCGGAGGGTCTTGCTTGGGGTAGATACTAGGACAGGGAAGAGGGTGTGTAGGAGTCTGTGCAGTAATTTTCGGAGGAACAGGAAAAGGATAAGTAGCCCGTTCATATTAACAAATTGACGAAAAGAAAAAAACAACAACATACGTAGCAGAGTCAACGATCTCCTTCTTCCTCAACAACACCAGACTACCCACAATCTTCTCTCTCAATTCCGGCTCCAGCACCGCATGGTGCATTGACAAAATCTCAATCAACTCATTAGCGAAATTCTTGGTGATATCCTTGTAGCAGTCGGCCACATGCGCGATGAATTCGACAAGATCGCGCAGAGAAATTATTCCCGTATCTGTCACTGACGATGGCGAGGCCATGAATATCTCCCGGTGGCTTTCATATTGGTAATGCTGATTGCGGAAATCTTCGATGTAGGACCTGCGGTTGGGCAGTGGAGGTGATAATTGTTAATTGGAATGAATGGAATAGAGATTGCAAGGGCGCCCCTCGCTACCATGTAGCTGCCACAGAGAGAAAGAGAGAGAGAGAGAGAGAGAGAGGGAGGGAGATAGGGTCGAACTTGAATACGTACTTGGGGTCTCGTCGGATTTTATGTTGGAGATTCGTCCTGTACTTAGGTATGTGACGTTATTGTCTGCTCTTTCATCTGATATATTTGCGGAGGGGTTATTTACAGGTCAGCATCCACCTTTTCCAAAGCTCCTAATTTGCGTTTTCCCATGGCTGGTAAATTTTCTCTGGCATGGGTGATTAGAGACGTTGGGTGGTGTTGATTTTCTGTGAACGATTTTTTGGTGCAAGTCAATTCCGCGCCGAGCCAATGGGAACTGCACGCCAGAATGAATCCATTAAGACAGCTGATTATACACTCCTTTTTTAAAGGAAATTAAACTTGATATATTATTGTTATTGTTATTTCGGAGACTACGCTACTACCCGAGAATCTTCAGGATTTATCAAAACTTAGAACCTGCGCTGCATTGCATCAACATATATAAATTATTCTATACCCCACTAATAAAATTCTGGGAACAATTTAAGACAGCCTTATTTTCTAAACCCTAATCTCCTATTGCCTCGATCATTTGTTATTTTTATATTTATATTTATATTTATTTTTAATTAAATATCTGGTGAACTGTCGACTCCGTAAACAATCTCGATCTGTTTCAGCACCTGACTGATGAAAGAAAATTCTTCATGATTCATTCAACTACGTAGAAGGAAAAGGAAACAGAAAAAAAAAAGGATATTGTCCCGTAAGTGGATTATTGCTGTCCTTTAACACACCCAGTCAGATATAAATTTGGGTTCTTTTGATTCTTTTGTTTTGTGTTAAAAAAATCGCAGATGAACGTGAGAAATGGAATCCACCGAACACCGCAGATTATGGCAATAAATGCACACGCACACATACATAACAGGAGAAACGACCAAACCCTCGCACACCCCACACAACAACACCCACCGCCAATTGCAATCGATTACCGATTGCTTTTGGCCACACGTTCTAGCTCGTCCTTCTTCTTAATAGCGTATGAGTTTGAGCTTCCCTTGGCAGCGTTGATCAACTCTTCAGCAAGGCATTCAGCGATGCTCTTGACATTGCGGAAAGCGGCCTCACGAGCGCCAATCGTCAGGAGGGCAATGGCTTGGTTGACGCGGCGGAGTGGGGAGACATCGACGGCCTGGCGGCGGACGGTACCGGCGGAGCCAATTCTGGTGCTGTCTTCTCGGGGCCCGCAGTTGACGATGGCGTCAACGGCGACTTGGATGGGGTTTTGGTCGGTCATGATGTGGATCTGTGGAGTAAAAAAGTGTTTTGCCCAAGTTAGAACTTAGAATTTCCCTAGATCAATTTGTTGCCGTTTCTTGTTCCAATTCCTCAGAAATTCAAAAGGTGGGATGGGGGACCATCTTGCACGTACGATTTCAAAACTGTGGGCAACGATGCGGACGGCCATGAGCTTCTTTCCGTTGTTACGGCCATTCATCATCAGGGAGTTGGTGAGACGTTCAATGATGGGGCATTGGGCTTTTCGGAATCGCTTCACAGCATATCGACCGGCTGAATGAGAGATGTAGACGGGTTGGCGGATTTGGATGTAATCGCTATAAAGAATTTCCAAAAGTCAGCGCATCCGTACCACCAAATTAAACAACAAAGCCAATTTGCACAATCAGTAGGCCTGTGCTTCTATAATTCGTCTTATTTTCATATATCTCGATCGTTGGCCCTGCACAGCTCATCCCCAACCAATCCCGCACATGTAATGCCTGCAAAACTAATCGCGGCCCAAGAACGAAAATAAAGAATGACAAAAGAACAAAAGTTGACACATGTGCATATTCGAAAACACACATACGTCAAAGACATATCCCGGACCTCGATATCCTCATAGCTCCATTTGTTGAAGAGCTTGATACTGCCGATTTCAGCGGCAACCTCCTTGGGCAGGACTTGGTACCCCGTGGGGCTTTCGACCTCAACTTCCCCGTTGTCGGACATATTTTCGTTTGTGTGTGTTTGGCGCGCTGTTTAGCAACCTGGACGGGGGGGAGAGACGAAGGGTGGGTGGTGGAATTGCCGTCGTTGTCGTCGTCGTCGTTCTCTCGTCCTTTTTTCTCCAAGGTCAGTTTGGTGAGGAATTTGAGGTGTGGGCTAAGCGAGGGGTTAGTCAGCCATTTGCGGGCGATTTAGGGCAGAGATCAAGCACATGTAATTCTTGGCAAATTTTGGTGCTAATATCACGTGAGTGTCGGTCTCTAACGATTTATACAAAGTGGAAGCTGGAGGAGCCAAATCTGCCAGAGCAATTATGTATGCATCGACTGCTTCCAAACCAACTGGGCATTCGCGGCAAAATGCTTTGAGGCACAGGGATGGAAATCCTTATGATATGAGATCCGTGCAGCTGAACCAAACTGGGTAGCACGTATGACTTCCTGATAGCTCCAAAATCAGACTAACAGTATCAGATTCACTGTCGCTCACGAGAAACTTGGGATTTTCAAGGGTGGGTGAGTCATTGTCATCTGTTCCAAAGTCGTGGATTCGAGCCTCTGTCAAGGACTCAGGGCGATCAAGGAGTCACCAATTATTGCCACCAGAAAACTCCCTTACTAGCGCCCTGAGTAGGGTAGGATTGGGTGATATGAACACAGGGGTATCATGACATATCATGACAGAAGAGAAAACTCGGTCCCCTATTTATGGAGGTGGGATTCCTTCGTCGCTATATCTCAACTCTTGCAGATTTTATAACGGAAACAAAATGCCAGGCAAAGCTTTGCTGTTAACAGGGATCTTGACCGTTGCTGTCAACGCTGCGATTGGATGTCCGTTGCGTAACATTCCACAACACTTTTCTTTTCTTTTACTTTAAACCCGGTTGAGTTCCTACTTCCTCCAACAGACGGCTAACTGAACCGTCTTCTCACAAACAGCACAGCTTGATGAAGAACCTCGAGCATGTGATGATTTCATGATCAACATAGCGACTCAAGAAGATATCGACTTCTACTCCACTTGCCCGACGATAGAAGAGGCCATTTCGTTTGGTATCAATCATACTTTCAAGGGGCCGTTTCAAGTGCCAAATGTCAAGTATATAGCTGGAAACTTCGGTGCTGGGTATTTGGGTCCGAAATTGAAATTTTCTGACCGAGTGGATGATGCGGTCACGTCCATCTCCATGCCAGATTTGGAGGAGGTTGGCGATTGGGTTCTGATGGCATATTTGAACGAACTGACGAACGTATCATTCCCGTAAGCATTGAAATTCTCCACTTCAGGGGTATATCCGTCAGCCAGGCCCCTTAAAAAAAACAAACAGAGCCTCTCATTCACAACAATCTTCAGTTGTGCTTCGACGGGGCCAGAGTTAATTTGCTTCGGCAGTGTCACTGATCTGAGATCTACAAGTACAAACTAACACCCAGCATATGAAGAAAACTCCGTACCATCGGCAATGATTTGGTGATGGCAGCCAACCCGGAACTTAAAAAGGTCACGTTCCCGGCACTGGAAAATGTCTCTGCGGGGATATTAATCGACGGAGATTTTGACGAGTACGTGTTTTCTTTTCTGTTTTCATATCCATATCCATATACTCTACTCGCAATCGACAAGGAAATCATTGCTTAAGGCGTTTTATTTTTTGGCATTGCAGAATCCATCTCCCAGCGTTAAAGCATGCGGCCTATCTGATAGTAAAGTCCACTGGTGATCTCGACTGTCGAGCTCTGGGCAAAAATCTCTCCTCGCTGGTTTTCCACCCAAACCCGAGGACTGATGAGGGTAAAGGATTCACCTGCTGGACTTTCGATGAGAATAATAGATACAATTCTTCAGACCCTAATCCAACCATTCAAAACCCGTAAGTTTCTCTTTCTCTCTTCCCCTCTTTCACCCCCCTTTTAACGCTTACCTTTCCACTGCAGCTCACACTTGAATGCAACATACTGACAACGAGAAAAGAGAAAAGAAGTCTGAGGGAGTCTTAGTTCGCGCTGGGCTTCTGGGTTCTTTGTTTAGTTTGATGGTCATGGTGATTTTCTAAGGTGCTTCTGGCGTAGGGTGGATAAATAGTATGTATAACCTAGATATTTAATTCAGAGTGGCTTTTGGTTCAGGGATGCATGGCTCTTAACATGCTTGCATAATTCCTTGACATAGCTGACCCTGAAGGAACCGACCGTGTGATAAGTAACCTTGAGGATTGATTGCCCTTTTAGACTTCCCTTGGTTTCTTCCCGGGTTGTCACCCGGGGATGAAGGCGGGGAATTTCGCGATCCTCCAGCCAGAAAATCTATCCATAGATCCCTACAAGGTGTTCGTTATTCCCTAGCAGAAAATTTTTCAGTAGTGACTTGAGTGGCGGATAGTAAAGAGCAAGTCGAGTACAGAATACATGTCAAGCTTTTTAATTGTTGGTTACTTAGTTCGAGGTGGCCGAGCTGAGACTTTGAAGAGTAACTCGTTAGTAGCCATAAGATAACGCCCTAAAATACCGTCTAGCTGCACACGCCACACCAACGTCGAATCGGTGCCTATTTGCAACGAACAGCGGGATTCACGGTCAGTCGACCAGCCACTCCTTTCTTGTCTGTCTCTTCGTCAGTATCCCCCTGCGGTCGACGGCAACATACTGCATAAAGTCCGTCATCCTTTGATCATTTCCTCCGCAAAACGTTTGTGCGCGGACCGTTTCGTGTATCAGCCTCTCGCGGTGTGCGACTGTTGGCCGTGCTTCGTTTCTCATTGACCTGGCAAACCGCGGGCACCGATGTCCTGAGATCCCATGCTCCAGCCGTCAGCCTGTTGGGAGGTCTACTTACTCGCACTCTGCCCAACTTCCCACATCTGCGACCATGGCTGAGGAAAACCCGGAGTTGCTGAGCGCTCTGCGGCGTTTAGACCAGGAGTTGGAGGTGAGTTGATGACTTGACGACCCATAAGGCTTATGTTCCCATGACAGTTGCTGATATTCTATTCCTTGTAGGATGGTGAGATCACTCAAAAAGGGTAAGCACCCTCTCCGCTTTGTCTGCCGCTCCCTTTTATTATCGTAATTTTCGCTCCTGGGCACCGTGGGGCGGACTGCCCTGCATCCTGTCAGATGCCGGTCGCTGTATGTTCCTTAGCTTTCAATACAAAAGGGGGGAGTAAACAAGGGGAGAGGAAAGCTTCTCAAAGCTTTTTTTTTATTTTAGCCTATAGTTGACGTTCTATGAAGATACGATAAGCGTCGCACCCTTATCCTATCCCACTACCTGACCTTGAACGACGGAAATCTTGTAGATAGAGGCTTGAGAATTACGAGCCCAACAGTTGCAGGCCATCGGGTCTCTCAACTTGGTCTATATTCCCCTCCGTCATCCTCTCAAGGCAGTCGTCCTGCCAGTTCAACTCTCTCAGATGAACGTCCACATTCAGATGCACTGCCTGCCAATTTTACTGGCAGAGAGCAGGAACTCATAGCCGGGAACGGTATGGCCGGAAGAGATTCCACAGGGAGTGCTCCTCATTCCGTTCAAAGTGGGAATCAATTGGCGCGAATCCAGGAACAAGAATTGGAGTTTTCAGTTCGTTCTGAGCGGAAACCATCGACTACATCATTTGATTCCCTTTTCATCCCTAAAGGCTCAGGTCAACCAGGGAATAACCACGACGACTCCCGATCGGGTACCCTAAGAAGCCATAATTATGCATTTAACCCAGCCGATCAACCCGACTACGGCGAACCCCAGGCCGGCTCGTATGGCCCACAGGGTAGTAGTGGTGGACCTACGCGACAGTCTACCATGCTTGACTCACAGCAGGCATTTTTCTCGGATTTCGCCGGCCAACAAAGTGAGGATCACAGAGATAACTACGGAGGTGGCTTCCACCGGTACTCGAGCCAGACCGAACCATTTTCGCCAACCGCTAACATGGCTCCGCCGTTCATGAATACGGCTGAACTGCAGCATGGAAAGATCCTCGATCACCTGTTGCCCCTTGAGCCCCGGGATGTGGCCTGTGAAGTGCACGATCCTCACAACCCTAACATTTCGATGTCACAGTTCGATAATTTACCCAGTGTCCTGCGGCATCGTGCACGGACTCATCCCAAGCAACCCGCTTACTGGGTGCTAGACCAGCGCGGAAAGGAAATCGCGTCGATAACGTGGGAGAAATTGGGGAGCCGGGCGGAGAAAGTTGCGCAAGTCATACGTGACAAAAGCAGTTTGTATCGGGGGGATCGTGTGGCACTCGTATACCGGGACACTGAGGTGATTGAGTTTGCAGTCGCGATTCTGGGTTGTTTTATCGCGGGGGTCGTGGCTGTCCCTATTAACAATCTTGAAGATTACCCTAGCCTCAACGTTATCCTTACGTCTACTCAAGCGCATCTCGCTCTGACAACCGAGAACAATCTTAAAACCTTCCAGAGAGATATCACAACCCAGAAGCTTACTTGGCCCAGAGGAGTTGAATGGTGGAAAACTAACGAGTTTGGAAGTTATCACCCAAAGAAGAAAGACGAAAGTCCTGCTCTTGTTGTCCCGGATCTAGCTTATATCGAGTTCTCAAGAGCTCCTACTGGTGACTTGCGTGGTGTCGTGATGAGCCACCGAACAATAATGCATCAGATGACTTGTCTTAGCGCGATAGTAGCATCTGCATCTCCTGATGGTACACGACTCGCGAAACCGCACGGTGAAACTCTAATAAGTTATCTCGATCCTAGGCAGAGCATAGGTATGATTCTGGGGATTCTGCTTACGATATATGGTGGGCATACCACTGTCTGGCTAGAGGCTCGGGCTGTCGAGACGCCTGGTCTCTACGCCAGTTTAATCACCAAATACAGAGCCACACTTATGTCAGCCGATTACCCAGGTTTGAAGCGTGCTGTCTACAACTACCAACAAGATCCAATGTCGACAAGAAATTTCAAGAAGGGCAGCGAACCGAATTTTTCCAGCTTGAAACTCTGTCTAATCGACGCTCTGACCGTCGACCCTGAATTCCATGAGATTTTGGCCGATAGATGGCTACGTCCTCTTCGCAATCCGCGCGCTAGAGAGTTGGTCGCTCCTATGCTATGCCTACCAGAACATGGTGGCATGGTTATCAGCGTTCGTGACTGGCTTGGTGGAGAGGAGCGATTGGGGTGCCCCCTTACGCACGAGATGGACCCTGCAGGACAGGCCAACTCAGATGAAACAAAGAAAGAGGAGAAGACGGAAACGTCTAAACCCGGTTTCGGAAGCAGCTTGATTGGTGGAACCGCCGTTCCGACGCAGAAACAGTCTAAGAGTAATAGGGCCGATTTGAACGAGGTTCTACTTGACAAAGAGGCGCTTAAAAACAATGAGGTTGTCGTGTTGGCGATGGGGGAAGAGGCGAGGAAGCAAGCTGAAAGTATGCCCAACACTGTTCGAGTTGGTTCATTTGGATATCCTCTCCCTGATGCTACTTTGGCTATCGTCGATCCAGAAACTGGACTACTTTGCACGCCTAACATCATCGGTGAAATTTGGGTGGACTCACCTTCACTTTCAGGTGGTTTTTGGGCATTACCGAAACATACTGAGGCTATATTCCATGCTCGACCATATCGATTCCAGGACGGTAGCCCTACTCCCATAATTGTGGAGCCTGAATTTCTTCGCACCGGCCTTCTGGGATGTATCATTGAAGGCAAAATATTCGTTCTCGGGTTATACGAGGACCGATTGCGCCAGAAAGTCGAGTGGGTTGAACATGGAAGAGAGGCCACCGAGCACCGCTATTTCTTCGTTCAGCACCTGATTATTAGCATTATGAAAAACGTACCTAAAATCCATGACTGCTCGGCGTTTGATGTGTTTGTAAACGATGAACATTTTACCAGTCATCCTGCTGGAGTCTTACTCTGCTTCGACTGCGCCCGACAACCCTCTGGAGGACCACCGAGGCAATTGGATATAGCCCCTTTTGGATTCTCTTGCTGAACGGGGGCGCTGAAGTTCTGGTACCAGGAGCATCATCTTCGTGTATTTTGCATCATGATCACAGCCCCCAACACGCTGCCACGAGTCACAAAAAATGGACGACAAGAAATTGGAAATATGTTATGTCGCAAAGAATTCGACAGCGGTTCATTGCCATGTGTCCACGTGAAATTCGGAGTCGAGAGGTCTGTTTTGAACCTCCCCATCGGGGTGGATCCTGTGGGTGGGATATGGTCGCCCACATCATCAGCGGCTCGACAAGGTGCGCTTGCGATGCAAGACAAGCAATATTCGGGTGTTGACTATCGAGATGTCGTAATGGATGACCGGACTTCCACCCCATTGAACCATTTTACTACCATCTTTGACCTGCTGCAGTGGCGGGTCACGCGACAAGCGGAGGAACTTTCTTACTGCTCTATTGACGGGCGTGGAAAAGAGGGAAAGGGCATTACATGGAAAAAATTCGATACAAAGGTTGCGGGAGTTGCCATGTACCTGAGGAATAAGGCTAAGCTCAAGGCTGGTGACCATGTAATTCTCATGTATACACACTCCGAGGACTTTGTTTACGCTGTCTATGCGTGTTTCTGTCTTGGAGTGATTGCTCTTCCGATGGCGCCTATTGACCAAAACCGCCTCTCGGAAGATGCTCCAGCATTCCTTCATCTGGTTGCCGACTTTCGCGTCCGGGCGATTCTTGTGAACAGCGATGTAAATGATTTGCTAAAGCAGAAGCCAATTGCTCAACATATAAAACAATCTGCCAACGTCCTTCGCATCAGTATCCCTTCCACATATAATACAGCGAGACCTCCGAAACAATCACATGGCTGTCGCCATCTTGGCCTGACTGTTCAAAAGGAGTGGCTCGCTCGCCAACCTGCGTTGGTCTGGACATATTGGACTCCGGATCAAAGGAGGATGTCCGTCCATATTGGACATGATACAATTATGGGAATGTGCAAGGTACAGAAAGAAACTTGTCAAATGACAAGTTCCCGGCCAGTACTAGGCAGTGTTCGTAGCACGATAGGTCTCGGATTCTTACACACCTGTTTGATGGGGGTTTATGTCGGTGAGTTTTGATTTTATATATATATTTTTTTTCAACTTGGCAATAGTATACAAAGGGTTAGACTGATGATGTTTTGTGTAGGAGCGCCGACTTATCTTTTCTCTCCTGTTGATTATGCCACTAATCCAATCTCACTTTTCCTTGCCTTGGCAAGGTACAAGATCAAAGATACCTATGCTACGAGTCAAATGTTGGATTACGCTATGGGCAGCATGGCCGCTAAGGGGTTCCAGTTGCATGAATTGAAGAATTTGATGATTGCGTCTGATGGCAGACCAAGGGCGGATATCTGTACGCTTTTCCTTGTCTTACAGTGAGAATATATGAAGCTAACCGACGCACCACAGACCAGAAGATTCGATTGCATTTTGCTTCTGTAGCGCTTGACCGTACTGCAATCAACACGATCTATTCGCATGTTCTTAACCCCATGATTGTGTCCCGCTCTTACATGTGCATAGAGCCTATCGAGCTGTGTTTGGATACCAAGTATCTTCGCCAAGGTCTCATCTATCCTGTGGATCCGGACTCTGAGCCGAACTCTTTACTGGTCCAAGATTCGGGGATGGTGCCCGTGAGCACGCAGATCGCCATTGTCAATCCCGAAACTTGTTGCCTTGCCCACGTGGGTGAATACGGTGAAATATGGGTCCAGTCCGAAGCCAGTGCGAAATCATTTTATGGGACAAAGCAAGAGTTTGATCTGGAGAGGTTTAAAGGCCGCGTTGTCGATGGGGATCCTTCTGCTGTCTATGTTCGTACAGGTGACTTGGGTTTCTTGCATACTGTTACGCGGCCAATTGGCCCTGGCGGTCAGTCGGTGGAGATGCAGGTTTTGTTTGTTTTGGGAGGAATTGGGGAAACTTTTGAAATCAATGGTCTCAACCATTTCCCAGTGGACATTGAGACAACGATCGAAAAATGCCATCGTAACGTCGTCCCTGGTGGAAGGTGAGTTTTCCACATGTCCTTCAGGAATTTATTTGGAGTTTCGTCTGCTGACTGTTCCTAAGTGCGGTATTCCAAGCTGGCAATCTCGTGGTAGCTCTTATTGAAGTTACCCGAAAAGCATACCTAGCTTCTTTGGTTCCCGTGATCCTAAACGCAGTCCTTAATGAACATCAGGTAGTGGCAGACATTATCGCATTTGTACCACGTGGGGATTTCCCCCGATCCCGGTTAGGGGAGAAACAAAGGGGCAAAATTTTGGCGTCTTGGGTGACTCGAAAGATGCAAACAATTGCGCAGTTCAATATCCGTGACGGGGAAGGCTTTGACAGTCACCTCGTAGATCTGCCCGAGCGAACCAGAACAGCACCTAGGGTTTCCAGCACGATGGAAACCGGAAGCCGACATCCGACTCCACAGACAGAGCCTGAAAGCGCTGCTCCACAACGTCAGCTCGAACCCGCCCCCCCGACAGAGCGTCCAGCCCCAGCGGAACCAGCCAATTCTTTCACCCAATCGGCAGCTGCACCTAGCCCTGAGCTACGCGCAGCCTCGTTCCGTGAAAGTGATGATCAGCCGAACACTACCAGCCACTCCTACAATCCTTTGGACTACGGCTTCTCCTTCGAGGATAGATCGAAAGACGTCTTTGATGATTACGAGTATGAGGATGATGAGCCTGCTGAGAGGCCTACTCGGCTAGCAATTGTGAACCCGGAAGAGCCTGATGACTGGGATAATACTGATAACAAACACCAACCCCTTCCTCCTGCTGGCGTATTATCCGCAGGCGATGTCCATGGTTATAATAACGATATTAATAGAAGTAACGAATGGCGAGAAGGTTACAGCCATTCTGAACTTGACGCCTACTTATCGAGCGGCAATCAAGGTCTTGGCGAGGATCAAAACCGCCACCAACATCCTCAGGCTCCCATCCCATCCTTCGATATTATCTCTCCCGAAAATAATCATAATAATGTGAAACCGCATGCAACGGATAGGGATTATCTTCCCAGTCAACGGGCGAGATATAGTTACATGAATCATCAACCGCCAGTGGCAAGTTCTACACTTACTTCCGACCGTAATCAAAGCCACGGCGCTGGGCAATGGCAGCGCCAAAGTCAATATGATGACTACCAGCAACAGCAGGATTACCTGGTCGATGATTGGCCAGTGGAGGCGATTTTGTATCAGAATCAGAACGAGAGCCAGGAGAGGAGATGATCTGTTCTATTTATATTTTTCCTGTTAACATGCTTGGAAGAGGAATGAACTCTTTGATAGTTTGAAATTTTGGTTTCACGGGCTATTATAATATGGCTCCTCTTATTCATGATTGCCTTTGAAAACATTGTTCGTGCATGAAGGGGAATGAGAAACCTCCCCCCCTTCGTTTTTTTTTTTTTTTTTTTGGCTGGAAAAGGCATTTCAGATTTGAATTTTGTGCGTACAAAATAAACCTTTGCTCTGTTTATTAAACAATTCCCAATATATCCCTGTTTCGAAGTCCTTGGTCTCACTATTCTTATGTGATACTTGTTTTCGTTGATAGCTATGCGATACATACATGCAAAGGCTTCAAGGTATTGCTCATGTTTTGTTAAACCATTTTGATTGCCAGTTAACACAGGATTCACCCAACTCTGTTCATATAGAAGTGGCTATTTTGTCATTTAATGAGTTGTAGGATCTTTACCCATGGTAAGTGTATATAGGTTGGACAGAATGCAAACGTTTTCCTCTCTCAAAAGTCATATGTAATTCTTGTTCTTGTGATGCCCTTCATTCCCATAAGGCTGCATAAAAATTTTCATTATAGACTCGGTGATTAAAAAAAAGATAAAGTTTAAAATTTTGATCATCCTGTTCTCATTCATCTCGTGTCGTATGCTTTTTTTTTTTGTGTGCTTGAAGAAAAACGATTTCTTACATCTTGATTCTTTTCAGGCACTAAAACGGATGTGTGTTTATCCCGGGGGAGGGGGAAAGAGAGAAAAAAAAGGGGGATTATCCTGATATAACGAATGAAACATTTCGCCGAGACCTTATGTTCGCTTAGATAATTGCCAGTTTCATAGTTAAGGGAAACTCTTTTATCCTTTTCTGTCCTAGTAGTTATCCTTCATGTATTCACAAATTATTCGCCTGTGCTTCGAGCTTGGAAATATCCACTTTTTGTTGCGCAATTGTAGCACCAACATTGGCGTTGTCACGAACCAAGGATCGATCTGGCCCAATATTACCTTGGATCTGCTTTAGCGCTTCGAGATCTGCTTCTGTAAGGGTTTTCACGTTGACCGGGCGGAATGGCACGGGAGTATTAGCTCGAGATGTAAGGAACTGAATAGGTAGGAAAATCTGTTGTTAGTTGCGACTGATGGTAACGAGGCGGGGTAGGAATAAGGATTACGAAATGGGAATTGGCTTACAGAGCTGGCAGCGCTTAGAAGAGCTGTCAAACTAGCCTGGACAACGTCCTGGTGGATACCAACGCCCCAGACCTTCTCTGAGCTATCGGCGGACGTACACTCGATGTATGTTGCGGCCTTAGTGTCTCTATGGGCGCCGATGGCGTGTTCCTTGTAGTCAACGACGTCCAGATCAATGCCCAGGGATTTTAGGGCGTTTGCCAGGGGAAGAGATAGCACCATTGCCCACACCGACGATGGCGTGTTGTATGCCGTCGATTTCAATAATGCCAGCAAAGCGTCGCTTGAGATTCTTGGTGTTGAGTGCTTTGCCGGGTTCGGGGGGAGCGGGGGACTGCGAGCGGTCGGTAGTGATGTTATAGTCAACCAGGGAGAAACGGGCCTTGTGCTTGAGATGGTAGGCCTCTTCGAAAAGGGAGACGATTTCTTTGGGCAGGAGCTCACGACCAAGCCTGTCGGCTTGTGTCTGAATGACCTTGCTGAATGCGATTTGTAGTCCGCGGGGAAGATCCAGTTCGAGACTGCGAAGGATAACCCATGCAACACCACCCTTGCCGCTCTGTGAGTTGACCCGGATGATGGCTTCGTAGTTGCGACCGATATCTTCTGGGTCAATGGGAAGGTATGGTATCTGCCACCTATCCGCATCTGCTGCCTTGCTCTTTTCACGAAGCTGGAATCCCTTTTTAATAGCATCTTGATGACTGCCACTGAATGCGCAAACGACCAATTGTCCACCATATGGCCATCTCTCATTCACAGGGATCTTGTTGCTTGCCTCCACTACCTTTATAACGGAGTTGATATCGGAGAAATCCACTCCTGGGGAGATTCCCTGTGTATAGAGATTGAGAGCCAGAGTGACCAAATCGACGTTTCCGGTTCGTTCCCCGTTTCCGAATAGAGTGCCTTCAACCCGTTGAGCTCCTGCCATCTGTGCTAGCTCTGCTGCCGCGACTGCGCATCCGCGGTCATTATGAGGATGCAGAGAAACGCAAACTTTTTCCCTGTCAGAGATGTTCGTCGAGAAATATTCAATTTGATCCGCATAAACGTTAGGAGTGGACATTTCTACTGTAGCAGGAAGGTTAAAGATTAGCGGTGCTTCTACTGTTGGCTCCCAAGCAGCTTTCACTGCTTCACAAATTTCAAGCACAAAATCCGGGTCCGTATCCGAAAACGTTTCCGGCGAAAATTCGAAAAGCCACTCGGTACCAGAAGTTGAAGGATCGTCCTTAGTGATCGAGCGAGCGTATTTTGTACATCGCACAGCCATCTCCAGACTCTCTTGTTTCGACATGCCGAACACTATTCTGCGGAAGCATTCACTGGTTGCAAGGTAAAGATGGAGAATTGCCTTTTTTGCTCCCTTGAGGGAATCGACAGTACGTCGAATGAAGTCCTCCCGGCAAGGGCAAAGAACTTGCAGCCAAACATCTGCTGGAACCTCGCTAGGGCTTTCGACAAGACGTCTAGTGAAATCGTAATCTGTTTGCGAAGCTGATGGGAAGGAGATCTCAATTTCCTTGTACCCGATTTCTACCAGCATTCTGAAATATCGAAGCTTTTGGTCCCCATCCTGTAAACCGTAGAGTACGCTGGTTAGTCCAATTAAGAACAACTAAGCTCTGGAATCAAGCAGCAGCTCGGATTTCAGTCATACCATGGGGTCGACCAAGCTCTGGTTTCCATCTCTAAGGTCAGTAGCCAACCACCTCGGACGCTTGTTCAGAGTTTTTGAAGGCCATTGACGATTGGGAAGATCCAAGGGCTTGAAGGGCTTGTATTTTGTCGAGGGGTCCTTAAGCCTAATTGGGCTTGTTAGCTTCTCGGTTCGCAATAAGCTATAATAGGGGAGAGTGTAGCCCTACATTGGCATTGTGAAAGATTAAATTGCCTTGTCCGGGGGAGGCCTACAGGGGTGAGAGGATCACCGACAAGACTGCAATGTCGAAGAGGGATGGAAAGATTCAAGGATTGGAAAATTTAGTGGTTTACAAAGGATTGATCCACATGAACAAGAGCAGTTATTAAAGGGCATTAGGAATGAATTATTCTAAGCAGACATCCTATTGTTATTAAATTTCTTTTGCTGCAGTGAGTTAGTTGTCGCCGCAAAATTTCTGTTGGCCGAAATCGGGATGGCGGGGGACCGTCAAATCACGTGATATAAATGCCCTAATAAGTTGGCCTCCGTGAAAAGAACGAACAACAAAGAGTTTAACTACAAAGAACCGATGTTGGTGTTAAAAGTTAGAAAATGAATAAACGATAAAGCGGCTACCAAATAGTATTGTACGGATTATGAGAGGGATTTGGAATACCATCAGTTGCCCAGATGGTGTAAAGTACTACTATACTATACAGGCTAATGCGACTCCCCAACAATGCCATGATATGAATATTGACAATCTAACTGTTGTTATTGGCTTAGAAGTGTTCACCGCTTCAAGAGTTTCTTCCCTCCAGCTTTTGGTTTTCCTTTTCCTTTTCCTTTGTGGCCATCTTTTCCCTTCACTGGGCCCCGAACTTGGGTTTCGCGTTCGGCTTTACCTTTCTTCCATACCTTCCCTTCCCTCCTTTCGCGGTTGTCATCAAGTTTCTTTTTATCCTTCCCGCTAAGCTTTCCTTTCTTCTTCTTACTTGGCCCATTTAACTCTTCAAGAGAGCGCTGCTTAGCTTGCAATTTTTCTTTCTCGCTCTCAAACCAAGTCCGCTTGGGCCTGGACATGATCTCCTTCTCGTGATTAAGCAGATTGCTGCCGCGGGTGACTTCCATTTCCGCTTGAGCTAGCTGTTTCTCCTCCTTCTCCTCCCTGAGAATCTCTTGGACTTCCTCTTGCATCTCCTCCACTTTGGCGGCCCACTTGTCGGCCTCGGCCGTTTCAATGAGACGGCTTACGATTTTAGCTCCTTGCGCTCGACCAGTTTTCACGGCAGCTTTGACCACTTTCCTGTCCGGTTCTGCAGCCAAGGTGCATGCACGTCCTGAGCGCCCCGCACGTGCTGTACGTCCAACACGGTGAAGGTAAATTGCGTGCGATTGAGGAGCTTCATAGTTAATAACAGTTTCTACACCTTTGATATCGAGACCTCTGGAGGCGACATCCGTAGCGAGAAGGAAAGATACTTTCCCATCACGGAAACTTTCAACGCTTTTAATACGCTATTGACTAATCAGATTATATTTCCAGGTAGTTCTGGTAACTCGCTGGGGGTTGACCGCAGTACTTACCTGTTCTTGGCTCATGCTTCCATGAAGCTCCGTTACTTTCAGTCCCAGGAGCCCGAAAATTATGCGCACACGATGAGCCTCCTTTTTGGACCGGAAAAATACAATAACCCGGTCCTTATAAATGTTTTTGCAGAGGACAATGAGATAGCCCAAACGCTTCTCTTCTCTGCCAGGCCGTAATCTGACGAATTCCTGTATCAAGGTGCCCACGGTCTGCTTCTTAGCATCGACCATCAACCGCACGGGTCTACTAAGGCCGACTCGGATGAGTTTGTCGACGTTGTTTGTCATTGTAGCGGAGAAAAGCATCGTCTGCCGCGATTTCGGGATTGTAGTCAAAATTTCATTCAGCTCGTCAGCGAATCCATCCTCCAGCATTCGATCTGCTTCATCGAGAACAAGAATTTCCAAAGTATCGACTGTAAAGCTAGCGGAGTTCCTCATATGATCAATAAATCGGCCAGGTGTAGCAATAATGACATCGGGCCTCTTTTTGAGGATGTTCTCTTGTTCCCTCAGACTGAAACCTCCAACTAACTGGCAGAAGGTAATATCCGTGAACGTCGCAAGTTTTGTAGCCACGTTGTAACATTGAACAGCGAGTTCTCGAGTGGGCATCAGAATTGCAACACGACTGGTCGGGACTTTTCGAGGCCGATAGAGTAGGCGTTCCAAAATCGGAATAATAAAAGCACCAGTTTTTCCGGACCCTGTAACGGCACCACCTACAACATCTTTGCCAAGGAGCGCAACTGGTATCGTTTTTCGTTGGATAGGAGTAGGCGTAGTGAAGCCAACGGACGTGAGACCCCGTAAAATCGGTCTCGAGAGCGAAAACGCTTGGAAAGATTTTGCGGACTTTAAGTCACCGTTGGCCGATGGTTTCTCCTCAGGAGCAAAAAAGGATTTTTGTTTTTCGATTTCAGCGGCATCTTCACTTTCATCGCCGGAACCATCATCTGACGTAATGTCCTCAGGATGCGGCACTGGAGAAGCAACAGAGTCGTTATCGGAATCAGTATCGCTGGAGGAATCCGCTTCAGCTTCACCTTCCGAAGTGTCATCTAAAACCGGTTTGTCACTCTCTTCCTCTGATTCACTAACAGCTCCCATGCCAAATCCATCAGGAGCCAGAAGCTCATCTTCCTCGAAATCCACAGCATTCGCTAGTTCACCTTCATCCTGCGAATCAATCCCAGTAAACTCCTCTCCAGACCTTTCTTCCGCTTTCTTCTGTTCCTTCTTCTTTTTTACTAGTTTCTCCCTCATTTTCTGTTGCCTTCGGGAGATTATATCATCAATATCCACTGTCTTTTTATTTCCATTCCCGCCAATTGTAATACCGGAACGCTCATCGAGTCCCCAACCATCGAAGTCCTCGACCAGCTTCATACCCGCCGCCCCTCCAACATCAAATACAAAATCGGGATCCAACGCGCCATCGTCGTCCTCACTTACGTCCTGCTCAGTCTCGGAATCCCGTTCAAGTCCAGCATCCTTATCTGTCTGCTTTTTTGTCCTATCCTTTTTCTGGGCCTTTTTTGACTTTTTATTATGGGCTCCATTGGCAGTAGGTTCTTCATCCCTTTTACGTTTAGTCCCCGAAACTTTCAATTTTGATTTCGGTCGTTCCGCGGAAACCAGGTCATGGTCTCCAGCATCGTCCAGGTCGATATCGCCATTGAATAGGTTCGAGTCCTCGTCGTCTGATAGGGTTAGGATAAAATCATCAGTCGCGCCCCTTTTGATAGGAATTGGAGCCATTTAATCCACCTTGAAGGTGCGGTGTTTAATTGTCGCACTCCAAGGGTTAAAACTGAGGAATAAAAAGTGGAAGGGCCTTGAGAGCGAGAGCACATAGGTCCAATGTGTATCCCACATTGTCACTCAATTTGTTGAAAAAATTCCCCCAAGCTCTAAAGCGGTGTGGTGCGGCAGAATGCTCATGGCAGTGCACGTGACTGCATTCCGCTCAAGTTCGGGAAGCAAATTGGAAAAAAATTCTTAAAATTTCCTAAAATTTCGTAAATTCCAGAACCATTTAGAAAAATTCTTCCACTCTTAATATTGGGAAATTCTTCACAGTTTGTATCCTTGTATTAAATTAAAATGGGTTGAAGTATGTAGTTATCAAAGATATTTTTCATAAGTGATAACTGTTCCCCGTCAATTGGGTGGATATTAATGCCTATATCTAGTGAGCCTTCCTAAATGGCTTCTATAATTCACCAACCAAGTTAGTTAGTTAGAGGCTGTTGATTAATAATCCTTACTTCAACATCGACGTCACAAAATCTCGCGAAAACTTTCAAAAGCAGGACACTGATCTAAGACAAAATTATCATCGAGAACGAATCCAATTTGGCTGAAGAAAATCATTTCCAATAGGGCTTTTCCATACTCTGAGCTCGGTTCAAAATTGTGTCCCAATAACTGATTTTTTTGAGGTGCGGAGCCAGGTACCGTACACCGAAGCGGTACCACTACATCTACGGTGTTCGCCCGAAACACTCTTATTCTCCTGTCCAGAGGGCTCCTCGTTTCGTGGCGTTTTGTAATGAGAGCAAAGGAGTTTTGGCATGTGTGATGGATTCATTGTCGTGTTCTTTCTTTTAACTTCGCCGCGGTTGTTCTGTCGGTGTTTCTCCCACTTGCTGTTTAACTTGCCCCAATCTAAGGAACGGAGGCGAGTACGTAGTGGCGTGGTAACCATCCAGCACTTCGTGGATTTTGCACACGGATGCTGTGTTTGTTCAAGTGTCATTCCCCTCGCCTTCTTACAAAAGACAAGAGTATTATTACTAAGTTCAACAATCTCTAACAGTGGTCTGACCGTAACAGCCCAGAAGATGGAACTTGTCCTCCTCGTTGTTAGTGCGACATTAATTCCTGTCTGTGCGATACTCTAAGCAGGAGACAGCATTCTAACTTTTGAATCCTTGCTAGGGCTTGGGTGTGGCGACAGGACTCCGATGCGGGCCTAGACCAAGATCGAGTTCCGCGAGTTATAAACCCGATCGTAGGGCCGAAGAACCGCTGAACGTCAAATGTGACAGGGACATGCACTTATTGGTGGATTCCCCTTGATGAGGTCCTCTCGACAACGCCTCAAATGAAGCTTATTTTCTCCGTTACTTCCGCCCGATGGTGTTAATGTGATGGGCAGATTGATCTACTGGCTCACTGCCCACAACGAAGGTTTTTTCGCGAAGCATTGAACACGGCGTATTTCTTCTATTGACCCCGCCGCAAAAGGCTAATGTGGCGGGAGAAGGAGAATCATTGGCCGATACCCCTTAACGAAGTTCTTGTGCAAGCACTGGGTGAAGGTACATGAATCGTTGGTCCCCAGTGCGAGCCACAGAACCCCTCCGCTCCTTCTGTTATGGCGCGTGGGAGAGGAGCAACCCGGTTGCGACGATTGCGACGGTTTATTCCTCATAAGCACGCCGTTCATAACGTTCTATAAAGTATAACTCATAGTTTTACGGCATCTGGACCTTCTCTTGACCCAAGAAACGTGCAAGTGCGAGAAAAAATCCATGCCGAATCTGATTCCAGATATTCAAAACAAGCGGGAATTTCAAGGGACAGCGACCAATCGGCAAGAAAAACGAACCAGGAACAGGAACATGGGTTTCCGGAATTCAATATGGATCTGAGAAGTTTTATCTGTGAGATTTGTGGGTACGACCTCTAGAAACGAATCTCCGGAAACGAATCTCCGTTCTTGCATTTTGAACTTCCACCCCTTCTCCAATTTTCCACTTTTTGTTGCAGTGGGATTTTAGCTCGATGGAGGGGATTCAGAAAAGGCATAAATAGGAGGCTTCGTCGCCCTGGAATGTTGAATCTCTTTTGTATCACAATTCTCTCTATCAATTCATCAACCACATTCATTTCTCTCATTTTTTTGAGATTCGGAAGCTGGCCCTTCTTTCTTTCTTTTGGATATACAATCCCTCTTTTATTGCGTACATACCTTATACCCCATTTGAATCATTTATACCTTTCTACTTATTGTAGATATGCATTCCCTTAGTCTTCTCTATCTCATTGCCGCAGCTGGGTCTGCCTTGGGTCATATTGAAATGAGCGAGCCCGTCCCTTTCCGCAGCCGATTCGGCTCTGGTGGGGACGTTGACTACAGCATGACCTCCCCTCTTCTTGCAGATGGTAAGTTAGATATGTCCAACTTTCACATCCACCCGCACGAAAACTAAGATATTCACCCCTAGGCTCCAACTTCCCATGCAAGGGCTACCAACACGATAGCGTCAGCAAGCCTTCAGCCACATACAAGGCCGGAGGTTCGGGAGAGATTAAACTGGTGGGTACTGCCACTCATGGCGGTGGATCCTGCCAGATCTCTCTCAGTTATGACCAGGGCAAGACCTTCAAAGTCATTGAGTCAATCATCGGCGGCTGCCCTCTGGCCATGCAATATAGCTTCAAGATCCCGTCATCTGCACCAAGTGGAGAAGCTCTCCTCGCATGGACGTGGTTCAATAAAATCGGTAACCGGGAGATGTACATGAACTGCGCACCGGTTAGCATCGAAGGAGGCAGTGGCGACAAGGCTGCCTTTGATAAACTGCCAGATATCTATGTTGCCAACGTTGGCAATGGCAAGACGACCATCGAGGGCCAAGATGTCGTATTCCCAAATCCTGGGGATGATACGACCGGGACTGACAAGCCTTCTGGAGATGCTCCTGCCGGGTCTAGCGCTGCTGGCAACGCTTCGGCTCCCGCTGCCGCTTCCGGGGCAGCATCCACCCCTGACGCCTCTCCAACAGCTTCGCCTACACCAGCTGCCAATACACCAGCTGCCAATACACCAGCAACTACTCCAGCCCTGCAAATCAATGCCAATGCCGCATCGTCCGCCGCCGAGACACCTTCGCCTTCAGAATCAGTACCAGCTTCAGAGTCCACACCTTCGGATGCTTCCCCGGGTATTGGAGGCTCTGATAACTTGCGCATCACCTGCAATTGTTCCTCCTTGCCTTAAGTTTGGAAGGTAGTGACATGGATTCAATGTTGTGGGGGGTTAACGAGCTTAAGGGGCTTTTCTTTTTCCTTTTCCTCGAATAGTTATTGATGGATTTGATAGTATAGGATTGGAATAGAATACTTCAGTCACTCGTTAGAATAGATAAAGATTAGATAGAACACAGCTACTAGTTCTACTTTCATTTCTGTTTCAAAGTTCGATATCCGTTTCCGATTCTTTCCCTCCTCCCCGAATCCACTTTTATCCCCAGTAGCACCCTGACCAAATACCCCCTCCGCCTAAATCCACGATAGAATTGCCTGTCAACCCTAGAACAGAATAAGGTTGTAGAGCATGTTAACTTGAAACTGTCAGCCACGGGGATTTGTTCGGTTGATTCTAGATGATTTGACTAGTGGCATGTGAAAAACGTAAATTGAGTTTTACTCAGCACGCAACGAGAAAGTTGGATGTTACTTTTGAGTTTACCGGGTACCTAGGTTTCCGTTGTTCTTGCAATACTATCTATTGAGAGGAGACTAACCTCGTACGCTTTCCATGCTGTTTAGCAAATCCGACTCTTGTGACAGAAACTAGCAGGTAAGAAAATAGACCAGTCTGCGTTGAAGCAGATAGATGGCCCTGGTATTCATGAAACGAATTAAAATAATCGTATCAAGTCAAGCAACAAAACAAGACAAAAAAAAAAAAAAAAAAAAAAAAAAAAAAAACAAGGGCGCATTTCACAGTGGGTGGATCCAAACAAGCTCTCAGGAACGAACGATCGTATGGGAGTTTAACAGTGCTGTGAGAGTAAAATGACGGATGGATATCGTATTGGGTGATGTCATGACTCGATAAAGTTACAAGTCGCCACCTCGGTGTCGTTTTTGGGAAGATACCTGATGTTCCGAACCAAGTAGCTGGAATTTAACCTAAAAGTTTTGAAAATCAGCATGCCGCGTGTCCATGAATAACCGAACAATTATGTCCCGGCGTAGTTGGTTCTCACCATTTCCCTCCTTTTATCCCTGTGCCTTTCAATAGGGCTTGTTCATCAAATCCGAATTTCCGCTCTAGCCATTCTTTCGTCCATAGGTAATCAGAATTGTTGTTGGCAACATGGTGGAGAATGAATATTAATCTGGCGAGTTGACGGTTTTTACCCGCACGGTACACACCAGTCTGTGCAGCAGCGCAGTCGAAATGATACCCCTGGTTAGGGTGGTAGTCAGAATCGCAGATTTCCAGTAATTTGTCAACGAGGCAACTTCCAACGCCTAGTCGGCAGTATTTAGGTTCGACAAAAAGTTCCAGTTCTGCGGTGTAGCGGTTAATAGTGGCGGGACCTGTGAAGTCACTTGCCAGGATGCAACCAAAGATTTTTTCTTCCTCCCCATTCAGGGCATGGCCTAGACGTGGCTTCTGCTCGACAGCAACGAGAGCTGGGAATTTATCCCGCTCACATTCGTCAATGCGCTCCTGCAAATTGCCGAAGGAAAGCGGCTCCAGGTCGACACAGCGGACTGTGTTCTGAATATACCAGTTGAACAGTTTAAGCAAACCCTGCAGGTCCTTCTTCTCGATAGGTCGCAGGTACAGATTTAACTTTGGGGAGTGCGGATTCATTCTTATCGTGAGGGTTTGGAGGTATTGTTGGCTGAGGCGCATTTGCATGACCATTTTCTTCTTCTTCCATTTAGCTTCTTGTCGTTCCTTTACGAGGCGGGTATTCCAATTATGAATATATCCACTAGCTGTTTCGTGCGCGTGTGCAGCACTTTCTTGATCAGTCAGGTCAAGGAATGAGATAGGTGACTTTGCTCGTGAGGCAAACATGCCGCGTCCATTGGAATGAAAGCGTGCATCGTTGAACTCCGGGCTGTCTGTATCAACCCGGGCACGATCCGATTCACTAATTGTTTTCAACCAGTTCTTCAACCTATGAGTAAATTCCTGACCTGAGTGGGTGTCCCAAGGGCGGTGTTGCCAGTCCACTACTGGCATAGAAAAATTATCACCTCCTGAAATAAGCAGACTTCCATTCTTTTGTTGAGAAGATTCTGAATTACGCCCTGAGAAACGGGTACGGGATTCAGCCATATCAGAGGAGCCACCATGATCTTGCGCTTCGCCAGTGGGCGAATTCCTGTTTGACGGATAATTTCGCAAATGCGAAAATACTGCATTGTCTCGCTTGGTAAGAGCAAGGGAAATTTGTTTGGCAATTGGCGATGTTGGATCATTTCCCTCTCCCTGGCGAGCAAAGTCAAGTGGGGAAGGCTGTTTCATTGCGTGGAGATCAATGCCGCGGATCTGCTGGGCAATTTTCAGTTTTTCTTCTCTCTTAAGTCGCTCCAGTTTGTCGCTAAGGCAATTTTGCTTTTCGCGACCGGCACCCACGAAAGATTCGCTTGGAGGATCCAAAACCATCGGGCATTTCTTCTCTCGTGGTTTAGTAAGTGGGGGAAATTTGGGTGGTCCAAGAAAGGTATGTGCTCTCCGCATAGCAGTATTGTCACTAAACGAGCTAATGGTTCTGAATTTATTCAGGGGACTGGCGTCAGAGCACTCCAAGGCAGTCGAGCTCCTCCCCTTAAATATTTTGTTTAGATTTTGGACGGCTATGCAAGGCTGCTGTCCATTTAACGGAGGAGCTGCACTATCTGGAACATTTGGGGGTTTGGGTCGGAGAAGAACTTCATCGGAACCACCTGAATAATCTTTTTTTATTTAGTGAGTTTTAAGGCGCCTCGATTATGTCGATATTAAAGAAGGCAAAGGCCATGGGGCAATTACCTGTAGAGGACAGGGAGAGAATTTTCCTCTCCTGATTTGGCTTGCTGGGCGTGATTGTCCCTACAATATAACTTGTGATGAGTATGTTGAACAATTTCTGTTACGCATTGTCAATTAGCCTCACCGCTATTCATTTCAGTAACAGGGTCAGAATCAGAGGCAGGCTGGATTTCTATAGCCGGTGACTGCTGTTGGCTGCAGCAGTGGCCAGAGTTTGTCGTGTTATCCTTTTTGGGAGTTCGCTTTTGGGTACGGTCAGCTGCTTCTTCTGAGGGTATGTCCACTGCAGCAGATTTGCCCATGGCTATATCTAATGTCGCAGGGCTTAATTTGCCTGGTTCCTGTGGGCTGAGTGCTCCCAACCCAGAATCACGCTCCTGATAGGGTTGTTTCTGGACGACGGAAGGTTTGGCCATGGTGAAGCTAGTCCTTACTTCATGTGTTGGTGTTTGTAAACCGGTTTGGGAATTCGCGGAAGACAGCATCTGGGAAACTTCATCGCGAGGTTGCTGTATCGCTCTGTATTTTGAATGCGAAGTAGCCTGGAATGTTCTGAAAGAAGTCAAGATTTCGCTCCATTCGTCGGCGGATGAAGGGTATTTTTCGTCCTTTGACATCCTGAACCCTTCCATTGTCAGCGTGTAATGGCGTCTCCTTAGGTTAGTTGCTTCGATAGGTTACCCATACGCTTCCTTGGGAACCGCAGGGTCAGGTTGCTTTGTTCAAAAGCGCTTGGGTTCAAATGACAAACCCTCCTACTGCCCCTTACCTTTAACACCAGTTGTCGCCAAACTCCTCCGGCTCGCGGATTTCCTATTAATACTCTAAGAGTGAGTAGAGGATAGATAGAGTGGATTTTTCAGATTCACAAAAGAAAGATGAGTGTACCCAGTCGATTCAAGGAGGATCGGTTCCTGCTTCGAGAATCATCTGCAGTGAAGTGGCAATAAGATGGAATATGTAGAATCCCGAGGTCTCTTTGCAGAAGACATTTAGATCAACAAAACAGAACAGAAGGTTCCCCCAATACCCAATGATTGGTTGGTGGGTGCCTGGCTGGAGATGGTGAATTGAGGAACAATGTCAATGCAGCTGATATCTGAGAGAAACCATGTCCATGGGGACATGTCTGCGAATGAGACGTAATAAGAAATACACAAGATTTAAGATGAAAAATCAATCCAGTTAAATCTTCTGCCGGCTTAGATTCTATATTGTGAAAGGGAGATGTTGAGGAAGAAATGGGTTCACTGCACGTATGGATTTCAGGGATTGGTGGTTGCGATTGGGCTAAGCTAAGAAGCCTCCGCGAAACAAATAAATGTTGCTTGAACCTCTGCAACATCGAAACACCCGAGACAGACACCCGAAAGAAAATAATCCAAAATGCTTTCTATATTACGAAAGGCACGGCTGAAGGACAAGGAGATGAGGGCCCTGATGCTGTAAGTCCATTTTCCATTCATCATGCCTTTGTTTAAGCCTTTCTGCTGATTTGAAGAAGAGGGCTTGACAATGCTGGCAAAACAACCATCGTCAAGAGGATCATGAATGAAGATGTCACCACCGTTAGTCCAACACTGGGCTTTATCATCAAATCTATTGACTTCCAAGGGTAAGCATAGCTTGCTATGTCAAGGAGGCAATTCACGAAACCCCAAATGAACTAACCGCCTCTTCTACCAACCGAAGGTACAAGTTGAACATATGTAAGTTTCCGTCCCAGGGCAGAAAAGAAAACAGAAACTCTAATCTGACTATCCTTTTATTCTTTCCTATGAAGGGGACGTTGGAGGGCAAAAGACATTGAGATCCTACTGGAGGAATTACTTCGAAAAGACTGACGCTTTGATCTGGGTGGTTGATGCAACGGATCGAATCCGAATCGATGACTGTAGACAGGAACTTGCTGGGCTTCTTCAGGAGGAGGTGAGAAATTGCAGCCAAGCTGTTCATGCGCACTAGTAGAGAAGGCCCCGAAAAGTGCTGATCGAAAATCCAAAAGCGACTTATGGGCGCTAGCTTGCTCGTCTTTCTGAACAAGACCGATGTTGAAGGGGGCATGGACAAAGATGAGATTCGAGAGGTATGTGTCCGGGCCTCGCTCCTACATCGTTTAATGTAACAAATATGAATCTTCTAAATGACTCTTTTACGGAAGGGTAGGCGCTCCAACTTGATGCGATCAAGACCCACAAGTGGACAATATTCCCATGCAGTGCAATGACTGGGCGAAACTTGAACGAGGGGCTCGAATGGGTGGTGCAAGATGCAAAGGACAGGCTTTTTCTTTACTGATCCATTTCATTTCACTCTTTGGGATTCTTCTTATTCCTTCAGGAAATATGGTCTTTATATCGCAGCCTACCTGAAGCTGTCATCGTGGAACTCGGCTTAAAACCGCGCAGCTACGAATAGAACGGAGTGGAATTATTAATGTGGGCTTGTTGCAAGAGGCACACTCGCCTTTTCTGATTGTTATGTACCACGTTCTACGCGGATGATGGACGAAACCAAGATTCGTAGCCGAAGCTTAAATGAAATGAGAACAAAAATAAACAAACATCGCGTCTCGAAGCACCAAAAGTGGGCTATAGCCATTCACGGTGATGACATATAAAACGACGGAGCCAACGCGCTTCATAGCTGCTTGCCCAGACAAGCTTCTTATTGCCCCCGATATTCGGCCACGCCCTGCTAGCTGGCTAATTATTATCCTTACCCCTCGTAGATTTTTGCCAGATCTAATTATGTCGCGGTTCGTCGTGGTTCCTGGCTCTTAGCCGAGCTTTGACGGGGTCTCGAATTCAACATGCGAACAGTTTCTTCAACGGCGCAATCATCAAAACAGCTTGCCTTCCCGTAGTATCTGTTAGACAGCAATTGATCAACCTTGACATGTAACTTAAAGCCATGATTTTATAAAGCCTCTAATTTTAACTCCTCGTGTCCATTGGGCAGTTAGCCGCATTATGTAAGACACAGCCGATCTTAAGCACAGAGCAACATGAAATACCACACGGTCTTCCCTGCCCATGCCAAACAATTTCCTGGAAAAGACCTGGAAACAAGACAGAATACTGTTAATTTCTGATGCCTCATAGTCAGCGTCTTGTGCAAGGTTTTCTTTGTTTTTTCTCTCTTTTGTTTGATTTTTGCGGGTAGGTAGCGCGCGCCATGGAGGCGGATGGCTCTGAAGATGTCAACGACTTCCTTAACCGCATCCGTGAGCTGGGCAACAAACGCGACAGGGAGGACGAAGAGCGCACTAGAAAACTAGAAGAAGAGATCATTCAAGGCCGGAGAGAGAGAGAGGCTAGGAGAGCGGGTAAATTTGAATCATTCCTATTTTCCATCCGCATCTATCTAGTGCACCGAGTTTGCGGCTGTATTTACTAGGCGCAGACCGATTAAATATCCCGGTGTTGAGGAGATACATTAAAAAAAGTCAACAACACAACATTTTTCTGGTCTCCCGGCTAACATATTCCATGTTTCTATGTCAACACAGAGCGTGCCCGATCCCTATCTCCAACTAAGGACTCTCCTGGCCCCTATGGTAGCCCCTCATTGGCAGGAAGCGTTTCTCACTCCTCTCCCGTACGCGCACAATCAATTGAACCCCCGTTGGCCCTTCTTCCATCCCCCAAAAGAGAAATATCGGATACCACACCAGCAACTGAAGAGACGGGGAATTCAGATATGGCCAAAGCAGATGATCTGGCTCGTCATTCTGCCAGATTATCGACCTCTTCGCGCCCTTCCTCACGAGGGCTGACTTGGCAGCAGCGTCCTGGCTCTCGGGATCTTGATGCTGGTATTGTCCCTTTTCCAACTTTCCCTTCGCCCAAATCTGCAGTCGAAACGCGTCTGGAGTCTACTTCCACACTTGACGCTGATTCGACTCCGCCCCGATCTCACATCGCCCAGTCTCTTGCTTCGAAGGATCCCACCTGGTTCCGACAGACATCTGATCGCGGAATTGGATCGCCTGCATATAGACGCGCCCAAGATAGCTCAGTGTCGGATGTTGCTATGTTGAGCGGGAACATTAGATTGCCCGGTTTTAGCAGAGACCCGACGGTAGACTCTGAAAAGGTAATAAACAACGATCATACTACTGATCGGTCAGGGTCTCCGTCCAGAGCCAGTTCTACATATGCTACCGGCAGCTCGGGAAACAGGTACTCTAGCGTATCTTCTGTTGCCACGGCTGGGGGATTAGGTTCTCCGGTTCCTCTGTCCAATTCCCAGAGAATAGAGTCGCGCGCGTCTTTCACTGCTAATGACCCTCACCCAGCCGACCGGTTTGCAATGTCCCCGTCTCAAGGTCGAATTGCTGCGGATCGATCATCTTCTCCAACGAAAGGCTTAGGTGGGTTCGTGCAAAGTGCTATGATGAAACGTTCTGATAGCGTTTCAAAGAGATGGAGCAACCAACAAACTGGGCGAGGTACTGCAGTCCCCAAGCCAGGCTACCAGACGCCACCGAGCAGTCTATTCAGAGAAGCAAGTGGTGAAACCTCTCACATCTCTAGTCCGCGCCCCGGCTCTAGCCATACCGAAACAACAATTGTTCGCCAGCATACGGAGGGAGAGCTTGAACCATCGAAATCACCTAACGATGTCGCCCTGAAGCAATCGCTTCCATCCAGGCCCTTGTCGCGATCTGATTCAATTAGTAATGTGGGAGACAGACCGTCAGATCTTCCTGTCAGCCCATCAAAAACAATGGATTCTCGGCGATGGAGCCCAACGAAAGCTACCTGGCTAGAGAGTGCTTTAAACAAACCCGATTCTCCAAAACTCAAGCCGCAGTTCCAGGAGGAACCTGAATGGAAGAAGGGATTAAATAATAGACTGAGACAAAGCAAGGCTAGTGCCGATCTAGGAAGACCTGGCTCTCCAAAATTCTCATTGCAAAAGGAGAACCAACCTCCGGCGGGGATCTCAACCCAATCTTTGAGAGAGTCTGAGAATCGGGACTCCGCAAACACAGTTAAATCAAGCCACCCAAAGCTTCGTAGCGCTCTTCTGTCTGATAATGAAGTTCTGCGCATTGACACAATGGCTAGCGTGGCACAGACTTCTGAATATCCCAAAAAGCTTGATGACCTGAAGTCAAGACCTATAGCTTCTCCCAGGCAAATGGCTGACAGTCCAGCTTCACCGTCACCCATAGGTTCCCAAAAAGGACTGGGATCCATAACAAAATCGCCGGTTGATGGGATTTCACCGCAATTGAAGCCTTCCACCCCACCCTTAAATAACTTCAGAGCAAACTTGCGGCGTCGCGAAATAACCGATGGAGCTTCCAACAAAGATGAGCCTGAATTCAAAAATGTTTTCGGGAAGCTAAGGAAGACCGAAACGAAAAACTATGTCGCCCCCGATCTATTAAAAGACAACATCTTAAGGGGCAAAGCCGGTCTGAATGCAACGGGAGGACCGAAAAAGTCCGATAAAATAGACGAATTCAAGGAAAGCATTCTTAAACAGAAAGAGGCAATGAAAACCGGTGGAGGTTCGATCCGACGCCCAACTATTGGAGATAAAGGGGCTATTTCACCAGACAAACCATCGCCTGAAATCCCGGAGGCCATTACGAAGCAGAGAACTATGACTAAGTCTGGACCTGCAGTCACTAGTCTTTTGGGGAATGGCAGGCACTTGAAGCCAGTTGAACTTCCCAGAACCGTAGGCGTTCAAAGAGAAATAAAGCAGTCAGAGGCAGCTGGGTCTGATGTTCAGGACCCTGAACTCGAGGCTATCCCGTCAAGAACTTCATCGATTCATGGCCCAGAAGGTGAAGCCTCCGACATAGTTACGTATGCACGGAATTTGCCATCTGATAAACTCGCTGATATCCCCGCAAAACCGGATCAACAACCTGATGTTTCCTTACAACAATCGGCGGCGAAATTGCATAACAATCGAGAGATTCCTGAGCAGTCTTCAAAACTGGCCGGTATTGCGTCGAAATATGACCGTAGCTCCATTCAAGCACCACCCAATGGTCCACGTGCACGTTCTGGTACAGGAAAGCTTGCGGACAGGTTGAATCCTGCCCTGGCAGGTCTTTTATCCCGCGGACCGCCTTCTAGTAGCGGGCCATCCAGCGGTTCGAATGATGAATCATCACGACCAATGCCATCTCAGTCTGAGCTGTCTGAGTCAATCTTACCAGCAAAATTGACGCACACGACAAAAGGACGAGCAAAGGGACCCAAAAGGAGGTTACCACAATCTGGAAACTCCAATCAGAAACCACAGAAGAATGAGCACAAAACACCCTTAAAAGTGGAATTAACGACGTCATGGTCATTGCGTGATACCAATCCTAGTGATGATAAATTAAGCCAGGATACGTCGCCTACTAAAGAAGATGTGAGGTCGTTGCTTAAAGGGCTTCCGCCAAGCAAGAAGGAGTCTGTTACGGCTAATGCGCCATTCGCACCAAACGGACTACAAAGGAAAGACAAGCCACCAGTGTCTTCGAAGTCTCCTGATCTGAGACAGTTCACCCCTACTTATAATGGTCCTAGAAGAAACGATTCAGAATACGATGGGACTGATACAAAGTTGGAATTACTTTCTTCGAAGAAATACGCACAAATTGACACTCTCCCTCCCACTCCAATTGCACGAAGAAGCACCTCCAACGAGAGTTTCAAGTCTGATGGAAAGCCGAGTCCTCCTCTAAAACCTACTACGATTTCAACAACGAATAGCTCTTTATCTCAAAAGAGCCTTCCTCCGTTCCCGCAAGAACGCATTAACTCCCCTCCTGTACCTCCCAAAGCAACCAGCCCGACTCTCAACAAACAACAATCACCCTCGATAGGCCCCAATACATCTCCATTTCCTGAGTCTAAAGAGGCAATTAATATCTTTTCAAGTTTTTTTGATACTACCAACAGAAGCTAGTGATAACGTGAGGTCGACCCTCAGTCGATATTAATGTCACAACCCAGATGTATATCCCAAAATTAACACAATATCGAAACAAATATGGGAGATCACTGGCGACGGCAAGAGGAAGGATCTCCCAGCTAACCCAAGGCTATATACTGTTTGAACAAAGCATGTATCTATGCGTACATGTTTTCGAAGAAGCGGGCGGGCCTAAAACCACTCAGGTTCATCTTTGGTGCGGTGATGAAGTAGCCGAGGCAGCTATTGAAGATGCACAACTTTTTGCTCGCAAGGTTGCCCGGGAAAATAGCTGTAAGCTCGAGCTCGTCAAGCAAGGGAAGGAGGCACCAACTCTCATCCAGGCTCTTGGCGGCATTATCATCACACGCCGTGGCTCGGGGAGCCGCGCTAATTCCTCGTCAATGTATATGCTCTGTGGCCGCCGACATATGGGTCAAATTGCGTTTGATGAAGTTGATCTGACCTCGAAAAGCCTATGCTCCGGTTATCCGTACCTAATCTCCGCTAAATTTGGCAAACTGTACCTCTGGCAAGGTCGCGGAAGCACAGCTGATGAACTAGGCTGCGCCAGACTTATCGGCATGGACCTAGGCTTAACGGGTGAGATCGAGGAAGTCATTGAAGGAAAGGAACCGCCGGGATTCTTCGAGACCTTTCCGGACACTTTCCAACCGACCCCAGCCCAAACTGCAGATCATTGGAAATTGAAACCCACCAATGGGAAATATTGTTGTCGACTCTACCGCGTCGACCGTGAACTTGGACAAAGATTTGGATCTGGCTTTTGGGGTCGTCGCGGGACCACCTCGCCTGTCACAAGGCCGAATGATGTTGTGCAGGAAATCGAGCCGTTTTGCCAGCGCGATCTCGACCCCAATCATATACACATCTTGGATACTTTCTTCGAGATTTTTGTGTAAGTAGAATTTCATTTTCCTGGACTCTGCAACTTTTGTACTTATGAATAAATGTACATGTGTATACAAACACATGCGCTATAAATACTAATTCACTCTTTCATAGCATTGTCGGTGATCGAGCAAACGCGCGCTCCGCAGAGTTCGCCTCCGCGCTGATATTCGCCCAGGAATACGGCATTATGGCTGTCTCTTTGCAAGACCGACCATTCCTGCCCAAAAGCAGTGTCGTGATATACGGTCTTTCAGAAGAATGCAAGCGGGCATTCAGGAAGTGGGACGACCGGGGCGTTTTATCTCCAAGAAAGACGCCAAGTGTTATCCCGCTCAACGCTGCTATTGAGGCTATTCGGTGATTTCCTTCTTTCATAACGCCTTTTACAGAGTTGTGGGAGCTTTCTCCTGCTCATTTAGCTTGTTTCTTCTTTTGCGGAGTTTTTCTTTTTCTTTTTTTATTTAACAATTCTCTTGTCTTAATTCCTAATGTTTGGCCATAGCGAAAGGTATTGTGCCCTCGATTTTGATGTGATGCTACTGCTGCATTGATTTTCCAGTATATTTCTCGTCTCATTTTTGCGTTTATTATTGGCTGGCTATTTCTTTCTATACAGTCTATGGACGGTAGTTATCTGGCCATCGATCCCAGCTCTTTCAGACAGTTAGAACGGATGCATATGGTGTTGCTGAAGGTGCAAGGGCGGACTTGAGGCTCCGGTTGAGGAGTTGTTTCTTCCTCTACTGTAAGAATTAAGACACGGCTTATATGCGTATAACATGTATCTGCCAACCGCATTATTAGCTATAGACTGTGCTCCTGGACGTGGCATAGAGGCTCTGGAGTTTCTGAGAAATGTAGGTTCGATCAAGTTTTTCCAGGCTAAACATCATTATTAGGTAGCTATAGTACAAGGCCATGGTGGAGGTAAAAGAAATAAGAATTAGCAAGAAAGAAGACGAAATTTGAGCTATCACGTCTCTTATTTTGCCCTTTTGCCCAGCTGTGTTTCTCATATTATATAATATGGAGCTTCCAAGCCTCTTCTTTGTTGCTAGCCCAAACTTAGCTTCCGCAACCTTCTGAAGCAAAGAGTTGGCCGAACGCTTTTACCCCCGCGATCACATCTGGATATCGAGTGCTCGAAAATTTGCCGGACGAAGTGCGCATATTCCATTCCAGGGCCACCATGAACTGCTACACGCACGTTGATACAGCTTCAATCTCTCCGTCGAAGACAATGCGCTGACTGAAGCAGCGAGTCTCCAGCAATCACGATCTGATCACCCCACACGGTATAATAGCACAGGCAACCCGACCCTACAAGCCACACAGGATACATATATGTCATTCTTATCACTATATGATATCCCCGATCCGTTTTGCTAGGCCGACTGGCAATACGTTGATCTAACAGCCATGTCCAACATGGAACCCCACATCGCCCACGAACTTTCAAAACTTGACCCCGCCATCCCCTTCAGGGCGTCCTCCTCCCATCTGCACCACACCTGGGCCAAAACCTTCTACTGGCGCCCGGAACTCTTTATACAACCCGAGTCAGTCGCAGAGCTTCAAAAGGTTGTCACTCTCGCCCGCCGTTGTCGCCGCCGTCTTGTTACAGTCGGGAGCACCCACTCCCCATCAGACCTCACCTGCACCTCCGCCTGGCTCATCAATCTCGACAACTTTCGTCGTATCCTCTCCTTCTCGCAAGAAACAGGGATAGTGACTGTCGAGGCGGGCATACGGCTGCGCAGCCTTGGTGTGGAGTTGGAGAAATATGGCCTGACGCTGCCGAATCTGGGTAGTATTGACGAGCAGAGTATTGCTGGCGTGATCTCAACGGGGACGCATGGAAGTTCATTGAGATACGGACTGCTGTCACAGTCCGTGCTGGCCTTGAGTATTCTCCTGGCCAATGGACAGGTGGTCCGCTGTAGTGCTGAGAGTAATATAGAGCTGTTCCGCGCCGCCCTCGTTTCACTGGGTGCCATTGGCATTATTACGGAAATGACACTACAGACTGTACCAAGCTTTAAAATCGCATGGCAGCAATCTGTACAGAACCTGCCACAAATACTAGAATTGTGGGACAGCGGTCTCTGGACTTCTTCGGAGTATGTGCGCGTTTGGTGGCTGCCATACTGGAAGCGAGCTATCATCTGGCGCGCGGATAAAACCGATCTACCCCTCTGCGCACCGCCAGCTAACTTCTACGGTGGCCGTGTTGGTAATTTTATTTACCACAATTTATTATATCTCTCCAATTATGTCCCGCGTATTCTTCCCTGGGTCGAGTGGTTCGTCTTCGGTATGCAATACGGTTTTAGGCCAGGTAAACTCATCACTTCAGCAGTGGAGCCTGGTCGGACAGGTTTGCTCATGAACTGCCTCTACTCTCAGTTCGTCAATGAGTGGGCACTACCATTGGAAAAAGGACCGGAAGCTATCACTCGACTTTCTGCCTGGCTAAATGGTGACGCGGCTACCGCCAGGATCCCATTCAGTTCCAAGGATGTCTGGGTGCATGCGCCCATCGAAGTCCGCGTCTCAGATACATCCAAGACCAATACGCCGCGCCCCTATCTGGACCCAACCTGCGCAACGGGACCCACGCTATTTCTCAATGCGACTTTATACCGCCCGCACTTGCGCGATCCTCCCTGCTTGGCTAGGTACTATGAGGCGTTCGAATGGTTAATGCGCGAGATGGGCGGACGCCCACATTGGGCCAAGAATTTCAGCTCCAGCACGGGACAGAAGGAAATAAGCCATATGTACGGACGCGATCTAGAAAAGTGGTTGATAGCCCGCAAGTCGGCTGACCCCGATGGTATGTTCTTGGGTGAATGGCATCTGCGGAATTTGTTTGCCGCCCCGACCAATGACGTAGATGATCAGGATGGGGGATACTCATTTCCTCTCGCGGAGCGCGAAAAGTCACGGCGGAAACTTATGAATCTTCGTGGTGTTGGGGATGCTCTGGAATATATCGGTGACAGGAGGTGGGTGGATGATTGTTCATCTACGACAAGGCCTGGCAGTGGCCTCCGGGAACAAATTAAGGGGACCTTGCTTCCTAAGGAGAGAAATCATAACGAGGTCCAGCTTGATCCCCCAAGCCCGCCGACAACAGTGGCGAGTGAGGAGAGCTTTCATCATCTTGCTCACGGGGAAGCTAGTGTCATGCTCGAGAAGAGATAGCGATTAACCGTTTCACCACCCTTCTACCAGTTTGGCAATATAACCGAGGTGTATTTTGTTTGGGAAGGCATCGTGCCGTTGATAGTCAGGTTCCACCGATGCGCCGTGCCATATAATCTTCTTCACCACACCTTTATGCCCAGCTTTCTCAATGATTTTCTCCTTTTATTTAATATATTATATTTCTTTCCTATGTTCTAGCTAGTTGAGCACTCACCAGGGAGGAAAAACCTTTTACAATTTCAAATTCCAACCCATATTCTTACAATTTACAAACATGAATCATTGTAAACTGAAAAGTGGTATTGAAAACCAATGAATCCGCGCCGTTTCCAATCTTCTCTCAGCTATCGAATAGCCTCTCCACCTTCCATCTGTCCTCTTATGCCATTCTTCCGACGGGTGAACATCCTAGATAGCGAATATAAATGTTGACGTGGACGGTGCCAACAGGTCCAGCTGTTTTTTCTCCGTTTAAGCTGACGCCGAGTTGGGCATCGAGACCGAAAAGACTTACTAATGTGCGTGTGGGTGATCGGAGCGGATTTTCTTCTTTCAATATAAGGGAGGGAATGGATAATGACCTGCTGCCAAATTTTTACTTTTTTAAGTTCCGCTCACTAGGTGTTTAGCCCCGTCCGTTGTTTTCGTTTCTAACCCTAGGGGCCCCTTTAGTCGTGTAGCGGTCTATAAATGGAACATTGTGACGCAATGGCAATTCCATCTGATGAACTATGATAATCCGTTCTCCATAACTTATTCGATTGTTTCATCTTTGCACGAATTGTGGAACCAGCGACAACACCCACGTTTAGCAAACTGCTGCAACCTCTTGTCCTATCAGGCGCCCGTCCCTGCATTGCTGGTCTTCCGATTTTGTTTTTCATTAATAAATCCCCAGTGCGTATCGACAAAGTGCCAGTTTCTAAACACATAGAAGTGATCGTGTTTGCCATGGCGTAGCTGGGCCCAATGAAATCAGGCCACTTTGATTCCAAGCCTCGCGTCTGTTTTTTTAAACTGCAGCTCTGGCTCCATGACATCCCGAAAACTTGCGAACATTGGACTGTGCCGAAACCGAAAGGTGCCAAAGAAAAGAAATATAAAAAAGAAAATAAAATGGCAAACAAGGACAAAATAAAACAAATGCCCACATGGTTGGTGGATAGCAAGTGTGGACTTTAGCTTCGCGAGGGTCACAGAGAGAAAGGTGGTTCGACAGCCGATGGATAGTTAAGGATGCCTGGTCGATCATAGCGTTTGCATCGGCGCCTCTTCAATAGCCGTCTCTCGTATCTCATGATGCCCATGGTTTGTTCATCCATCGTGTCTTCACCTTTCCACCCTTCCCCTCAAATACGTTGCAGTTTAAAAGTCATGTTCGCTTTGTTTTTGCCCAGACATGCAACCCTGTATGCAGCACAATGAAGCAAGCCATTAGCTTTTGGTTCAGACTGAAAATTAACATTGTTACACGACTGCAAAACATATACTGCGAGACATCACTAAGCATATCATCAATTGATCACCACAGAGAGGCAACAGGACAGCGGGAGGTCCTGTAGGGTTAGGTTTGTTGGGAACCAGTAGGAGAGCTACCGAAACGAAAACAGGATAAAAATTTTAGAATTGCACAATAAACCCGAGCCTTTGCTTTCCTTGGAGGCTCCAATCGTATACACAAGACAAAACCGCGGGCCGCCCGCGGGGTAATGCGTTTAATGAACGCTTTTGCACTGTGTCAACCGCACCACCTCAAGCTCTCTACCGTGCAGGGCTCATATTTTTGGAATTTCCTAGGAATGTCACTAAAACTCGGTTATCTCTGGAGGAAACAGTTCACAATGAAAGTTCAGTCTAGTTGGACCATGCAAACCTTAGATTTGTAGATTGATTTGATTTCCCGGGCCTGCCTTAGAACTTGCGGCTTTGGGAAATGCGAGTATAACATACAAAAAAGAGCCCATGGCCACGACTTGCGGCCTCACATGGATAACAGTACTGGGTGACATCCCCGACATATGCATACTAAATTAGTAGGCAGGCCGTATTGTTGTTCATATTAGCTCTCGGCTATTCTGATCCCTCGCGCATTGGTCGCAAGCAAGGGGGAAAGGAGAGGGGCGGGGAAGAAAAAAAGAAATAAAATCCAACGCGCACTTCAGAGGCTTCCCGAGTGTTCACCCTGTTTTGTACCGATATCGCGCAGGGATTCGGGTATCCTGCCAAGGGTACTTAGAAAGCGAACAAGGCGGCATGAACTGTTGTAAAAGGGCGCCACGGAGGGACACGGAAACATAATCTGCCCAGGCTGCGTGGTTGATGAAAGAACTAACAGTCCTATCCTATCGATCTGTTGAGCGTTGTGTTTATATGATGACATCCAGCAACCTGGCCGAAGACCATTTCCTTGTAGTTTATGCAACTAGCCGCTCTCAGAACGACAGCAGATACTTTCTTGTCAGCCCTAATGAATCTCATTCGAGAAGACCAAATTTGAGAGGCTAAGTAGGGCGTTAACGCCGTTTCTGTTCTTGGACATTCACATCGATCAACAGCACGTCTTGGGGGTGGAATGGTTACTCCCGCTGCAGCAGAACGAAGACATCAGCACATACATGCAGCGTGCTCGTTGATTTGCAGGTGTGAATCTCAATTAGATGTCGTATCCCCGATTGCAGCATTTTGGTGCCAACCACATCCTGGGCTTCCTGTACGATGCTGCTGCTGCAACTCCAGATGCCGCCATCGATATATTGCCGTATACCTGTCATCGCGCTTTGTCGACGAGTGGAAAATTGAGAAAGGAGACCGTTAGACGAGGATACCATGTGACCGGGGGAGTTGATCCTCCAAAACCGTCTTGGTTTGTAGAGAATTTATCAATCACCGTGAGTGGAACTAAGCCATGCAATTTTGCTGTTTGAAGAACTCATACGCCAGATCAAGAACAGTGTGGTCCCTTTAGCCACAGAGCTTTTCGGCCTCTCACTTTGAAAAGATGGTGAATGCTGGCAGTACCCGATTACATATTTACAAATATGCGCGCATACCGACCGGTGTTCAAACGCCTGAGGCCCTCTTTCGGATGATTTGTCGTGTACCACCGCTTCCATGACGACTCATATGGTTTTCGGGGGTGATATCTGCAGGATTCAGATGACCAGATTTATGCAGATAGATCAGAGAAACACAGTGATAGATGGGAGAAACCACTGTAGGCTGATCCAACCTGCAGCAAGTTGAGGACCCTTTTGGACCAAACTTCACACAGGAAGCTAAGGGCAATTTCGGGTATTCAGAATATGCGCATCTATTGGGGCATGTGTGAAATATCCGTCTGGTTCAAAAGGGTGCGGTGTTCTGCCTGCCTATCACCTTTGATTCAATGTTTCGTGTTAAAAATCTCTGTGCCTATCGATTGAAGTTTAACCCCAAATCCCCTTGTCTGCTTGACCATAGATGATCAGATTACCTAGCACGACAGGCTGCATTGATCGTGTTCCATAGGATGCCTTGAATCATTGCAAGGCAGCCAAGATGGGACCACACCATGAGCACCTGCTAATCCTCGAAGGTTGATGCCCAAACGTTGACCCTAGCACCCTGCAGAGAGATAAAATTCGCCCAATAACTCCGATTTTGTCGATAATCTAGCTTTATTGCCCCGCTTCTCTTTTGGGGGGCCTTTGGTATTCCATCTTCATACCCCACTCAAAGCCTTGGGTGTAAGTCACGCTGAGACAGAAGCATCATGGCATTAGACCACGACCTTTAGCACCTTATGAATGGCGCGCTAATTCAAATTTCCCTGTGCTGCTTCGAATAAAACGGGCGCCTTGGTGGGGTGAGAAACGAAATGTGGAAAGGATAATTCCTGACATCAAATATTCCGATAGCATCACAATCGGAGCTGTTTCCACGTCACAACATTGTACTGTACTATAAGTAAGAAGAGGAAGTGGTGTGGTTAAGAAAGGGAGGGTTGGATGCAAAAAGGAGAACTTGAGCCTCGTCACTCACTGTAATCGCTGTCACCGCTTTCCTATATCTTATGTTCCTTTCTCCCGCAAATCCACCATTTCTGCAAGGTCTCGCTGGCACGGCTTCAGTTCTCTTAGCATCGCCCTTATATCTCGTTTGTACTCGCACCTTATTCCTCAAAACAGAACGCCTCAATGCCGCAACCACCCCCGCTTTTTCCGAAACTCCATGTTTCAACCAACGTTTCGGAGCCTCCCTCCGCTACCAGTACGATGGCAGCATTTTCAAAGTTCGGCTCATCTCAGCATCTTGTTGAAGGCGGGACACAGCATCAAATATTTAGGGCCAAACGGAAACACGTTCTCAAGGCTTGCGACCGCTGCAGGGTAAAGAAGACAAAGGTCCAGTCATACGACGTCACTATCCTTCTTTTTTGGTTGTTTCCAGGCCATTGAGCTCATAATTTTCTCCAGTGCGACGGAAACCAACCGTGTTACCGCTGTGCGACGTACAACCATCCATGCCTCTTTCGTGAGCGAAAGGCGACACAAACAAAGGCATATTCAAGAGGGTGAGAACTTATATTCCTCTTTCGCGCCGTTTGCTCTCTCATCAATGGAGGAATAACATATCTGTTTTTCTCTTTTTGTTTTGCCGTTCCTACCACAGCTTTGTCGAAATGCTCGAGTCGCATCACGAATTGGTAGTGAAGGCACTGCAACAGCTGTACACCCACTGCGTAAACAATGAGTGTTTCCCGGGGGACCCGATCGATCTTGTGGATGGCAATCCATGCACCCATGCAATTCTGGATCGACTAGGATTGATCAAACAAGCTGAAGAAGCCCGGGAGAAGGTAGAGGAGGAGAGTTCATCTCAGGCGTTGTGCTGGAAAAGTCTCCCGAAATCGTCTGGCTCTGCTGTAACGGATGCGTTGTCCCCAGAGCCTGTTAGTTCCCTTGAATTATCTCCTTCAAGTAAGAGCGTTTCTATATCTCCACCTGAACTCGAATGCGCGAAAAGTGATCCGTCGACACGTGGACAGAATGTCCCATGCCCCTTTTATCATGGTAGTGCAGCCGTATGGCCATTTCAAGCGCCTGACGTGGAATTCAACCATTCATATTCATCTACTTTCGGCACGGAAGCTGAACGTATCATTATTGAGCCAAGTGGTATCCAAACTTATCTCAGCATTGAAACCGCAAATTCATTCACACCAACAGGAGTACGTCCTGTTGGATTATCGAGATCGGGTCTGCAAATGGATGGTACATATATGTGTCCTCATCTCAATGTACCAGGCCTGTACCATGGGCAGCACGATACCAGCGATATACAGCCGCAGCATTCATGGATCCTTGGAAATTGGAATCGATGATAGGATACTGGCCAATGTCATCTGGGATTGTCCTAAGGGAATAATCAAAATTCTATCTGGGATACGTGCGGAACATCGCGCAGCAAAGCGTGGTAAAACTCCCGAGGCCTTCTGAATATGTGGGGTGACGAACGGACTTTCTCTCTATTTCTCTGTGAACAAATTGATTAAGTATGTTTCTATTATCCTTTCTAGTTTTGCTCTACCAGTTCCAGACACGCCGGTCGTTTATAGATATTCAACAGGAGGGAGAATTTATGGGGATTCTCATACCGTGGATTCACTTTTCGCTTTACGAATGCATCTAGCCGCCCGACCGTCACACGAAATCCGAACCTTGAAAGGAAACAGATCCTCCATCGTGGCTAGATTTGGGTGCGTAGAAGACGACTGCGCAAGAGGGGGGCGGCAAACCCACGCGAGAGATATTCCATTCATCAGACGAGAACATAAACCAGATCTCATGGTATGCATTTGGGAGTTCTGTGGCATCCTGTATACCTTTCTTCATTTGCCCCACAGCCACGTTACAGCAGATTCATTTTCTCTCTTGCCACAACATTGAAATTGGTTCCAATATATTTTCTCATATTCAACATTTTGGTAACATTGCATATTGAATAGATGAAGGGAATGCATCCGGCGAATGCATTGGCGTTTCTTCTTAGTGATGAGGATGAGATGAGGATCTTATATCGCCCAAGCAGTAGCCGCTCTCGGGGTGTAACACGGATGTCAGCTCGCTATACATACATGCATGCATGCATGCATACATATATATATATATATATATATATATTTCATGTCTTATGTGCCTGCACAAAAGCACTCCTATATGTACCTGAAACTCTACCAATGGGGAAAAGGGCGTAGGTGTCGAGGCCGAGACAAGGAGAGAAATGTGGAATACATGGAGAAATTGATGCGCCTGGTCCTGTTTTGTCAGGAGAGGCGGATAAACGTAGAAAGGAGGATATATAACCTCGACGGCGGTGGGATATTTTATAAAACTCCGGCTTCAAAAGTGGCGGAACGATAACCACAGGTCGTACGCAAAGTTATCGCGGGATGGGATGTTGTTTGCGCCAAGCCCAATGCAAATCGACTTCCAATTCCACCAACGGACTGAAGTTGAGGGAGAGTGAGAAAATTCTTGAAAAATATAAGAGGAGGATCCGAGTCTGAGACAAGTGAATTGGAACTGAGGTCAAAATTGAGTTTGTGTTGATGCCAATACCGATCATCAAGCAAATGATATAAATCATGTAAACCAGACCTGAACCCCACTTAGTTAGATAAAAAAAATAATAATAAATAAAAGAAAAGGATTTCTAAAACGAAAAAACCCCAGGTTTGAGTTCGTAATCTGAGAACTGATCTGCAGCAACATAACCAGGTTTGCTTCTTCACTCGCGAGCAAAGTAACCGGAACCTCAAGGAACTCAAAATTTGTGTGGGCTTTTGCGGGCTTGCATTTATTTGGGATTCGCACTTGATGGTTGTATCCGCTACATCCAGCCTAGGAATCTTGGTTGAGCTTTAGCTCCTCTGTGCTGGCGCTAGCTCGTAGTTGATGTTTCCTTAGTCTCCTCCGTCCGGATTTCAACAGGATGTTTGTAGTTTGCTTTTAACGGTAGCGTTTTACTTTTCGGTTCTGATAAACCCGACGTTTTACGATAAAAAAAGTGGATAAATTCCCGGAAGTAAACAAAATTTCGGCAGAACTTCACAGGTAGGATAAAAGGTATTGATATCAAAGGGGCCCGCCGGATTACCAAGGAGAGCAACAAGATTGGAAATTTGCTTTAATTTTGTGTGAATTTGGTACATATCGTTATTGGTATGCATTTTCTTAAGTGAATAACGTAGCATTAGAAAATATCTTTTGGGCGAAGCTCATATCTTTGCCTTCGCTGTTTCTGCCGGAAAAAGAATCATGTCTACAAGCATAATAGCATATTTAGGCTAATTTCACAAACTTCCAAACTTGTAGAGGTCAATATACTTGGCTGATACTCTTTTGGGCCGCTGAGGCAATCGGGAACACTGTCCAACAATGGCAACTTTCATCCATATGCTAGACTCTCCAATGCTTGAACAAACCACAAATAAGGAAAACTAGAAAATAAACCAGTGGCGGAAATTCATTACGAAAGCCCTCTATCGCCGTAGGTCCCAAGGATTCAACTGTAGTACCTGAATTCAAAATGAATGATTCAAAACTGAACTGATTGCTTGATATTGTCACTATTCTATTCCTTAGTTACGAAAAAGGAAAAAAAAAAAAAAAAAAAGGAAACTCATCTGGAGGAACAAACAAATAATATAGAGGTAGGCAATGAGCAAGGAGGGAATGCTCCTAGAAGGCTTGATAGCAATAACCTCTTGTTATATGCAAGGGGATTTGTTGGGGGTTTGGATTGGTTCGTCCCCTTCTGCCAGTGACCTAACATGCCAAGGCCCCCAAATAACCACATACAGTTTTCGTATCGCCAGCTACCTCCACCACCCATATAAACGAGGTAACTTTCTGTAATATTACGTACAATAAATATATCAGCTGCTTTCTGGAGACTTCAGATAGCCCCTATTCTTTACCCCTGAATTATCTGCATGCCTGTCTACCTATCCACCTCCCTACCTACCACCCAACCTGCCTGCTCAATAACCAGTCAATCTCTATGAGAATAAACATCACCATCTGGCTACACCTATCTATCAATGCTAGCTTACTGGCACACTACCTACCTGGCTTCCTACCTGCCTATCTCTTTACTCATCTGCTTGAATGGATGATATCCACCGACGATATCTATTGATGACATCCATTAATGAATTCCAGCGATAATATCTAGCAATGATATCTATCGCCCGCGCGATCCCCTTTACTACGTGATACCTAGGCAGCAGTTACTTGAGCACACGATCAAAAATTTAGAAACAGAAATTCAACAATCCAGAATTCAAACATCTTCCATGAGAAAACAAAACAAAACAATGCAAGGCGTAACGAGCGTGAACGGTGGAATAGAGGAACGACAGCTATGGCCAAGCAATAAAGAGCAACGCAAAACTCGAGAAACCCACATCCAACGAAGTGATGATATCATATCAGAAAATAGAGTCCATCCCCAGAACACCCTGTCAATTTCTAAAATTTCAAAAACGGGTTCTACCCTTGAGATGTTCTTCTGTGTCCAGAGCGACCTGGGTCCTTTTTTTTTTTTTTTTTTTTTTTTTAACACTTCTACCGCCCCCTGTGGCAGGCCCTTGGCCTGGACTTTCCCCCAACTATGGGGTATTCGACGGCTGTGACGGAATTATTGGAAACCCCCAAGGATTAGTCGTAGGGAGAGGCGCTAGGGTCGATGGGGCAAGGGCTAGTGGTTGCTCACCGGGAGCCGGGGGTGCTGTCGTAGCAGTTGCACCGGCAGGCCATCGGGTTCTGTTCTTGTATACTGCTGAATGTTCGTCCTTGTCGATCGTTGGGTTACTCCATACAACTTGTTGTTTTGGTACATATTTCTTGGTATTCTCATCGAGATAGATGTGGACAGAGTGCGCCCACACTGGGCCTGGCCCAGCACGATTAGTGAGTTTACCAAAGCGCACAGAAATATGATAAGAGGTATCTGGTGGTCTGGCGGTTTTCGATGTTCGAGTCTTGTGACCGCCCTTTCTAGAACAAAGACAAAAACACAGGATAAGAGTATAATCAACAGGTTAGTTTGTGGGATGATAACATACAGAACAATACAGTAATCTGGTAGAAGGGTCTTGAAGGTTTCCCCTTTTTGAAACTCCATCACATCCTGGGGGTTCTTAATATAGTCCCTGATGCACTGGACCACTGTTTCCACACTCTCATTAATAGGTCTGTGGTGCCACTCGATTCGAAGATGCTTTTCAACCCCTGAACACCGGTATCGCATCGAATAGACCGGCCAGTTAGCTTTGTCCCTGTTTGAAAGCATCTTAAATTGGTGGAGGATCACAGTTTGAATGAGGGGAGGTGCTAAGAGGTCTGACAGCCAACGGGCTATAGGTTAAGGTGTATATTGGGGGAATGTATTGATGGAGCTGTAGAAATGTAATGCTGTTAAAGGGCAATTTTCTTGTGGATCAGGATAATTGATGAAGGGAATTAAAACTGGAGGTTGTGATAAATTATATACAACCCCAAGCCAGGGTTCGCCCTTTTATTCTCTGTTTCACATTAATTCTCCCATCTCTTCTGAATGATTACAGCTAACGGAGTTTGGGCAAACTGAGTGATTTTTGAGTATAATTGTTTGAAGCTGGATGTTATAGAAGACTGTGTCGGAACTGGATAATGTCCGAATATTGTCCCAAATACTGAATATCGATAAAATATTGAATTGATTATTATCACTCCGATAATTACATGATAAGTAGGCAGTATTTATAAGGAAGGATATGCTTGATTATACAAGTGAGGCACTGTTGAGATTCAGCAAGACATTTCTCTAATATGCAGCAAGGCAATTTTGAGAAAAGGTGAAGCAAAATAGACAACAAGGCAGATTATAGCATGATGCCATCTCTGATTCTTGATATATGAGATATCAGCTCCGACAGACTGCTCCTGACTATTTGTGAATTGATGATCAATGGCAATGGAAAGCGTCAAGCAAACTTCACAATTTACAGTGAATCATATATGCTTTGCTAATTAATATTCCATAGAGATATTCAAATATCACAGCAATAAGAACTCAATATTTGAAATTGAAGTCCTTGATGGCTGTTATTTTGAGATTCAGTGGCTCATACCTGGTGCCATATCAGTGCATGAGAACATGTTTATGAATATTAACCATGTTGTAGTGTTAATGATATTCCAGTGATTGAATAACTTGAGAGCTTCTTGGCAAATCAATGAAGAGTGGGATTGAAGTCCTGGAATATGCATGTTAGTATGGAAGGACTGGTTGCTAATTGCCAGCCTGTTTAATGAGCAAGCAAAGAGCAGTGGTGTGTTACACATGAATGAACTTTCTTGAATGCTTTCGTGAAAAAATGATTTGAGTAGTAATTGCTAAGGGTATTCCTTCTGTAAAACAGAAGAGGAATTAATAAAATCTCTGAGTATAGTGATATTTAGATATTTCATTAATTTACTAGAGCTTTTTGCTGATAACAGTGAGAATGATTGAATTTTCTGTTTGTAGCAATTTTGGAGATGATCTAGAAGAATGCTGAGGAACAACACTGGCCCATCGGGAGTGGTTGCCCCACTCCACTACAAGTGACTAACTCTATATAGTTAGTAAATTACGGAAACTTTCAATCTTTTTACTTACATCATTTTCGCGGATCGCTGCCCATATATTAACCATCTCAAAGATTCAAACTCGAGCCCTCAAGAACTTCCTGGTTTAGGATTTTCATCTGTATGCTGCGTCTCATACAACCACCCCAGCAATGGAACCGACATTGCAACCGAAGCAGTATCCCGTAAAGGAACAAGGTACCTCCGCACCTGGTTGGGGTACGACCAATTTTCAGGGTAGCGAATGCGAGTTTCTACGTGATTATACTGACAACGGCCTATGTCCTGTTTTGATTGATGATGTGCTTAGTGGCTCAGACTTGATTGATAAAGGAAAGTCATGTTCCTTTAGGATCATTGGAAAGCTGGGAAGAGGATCTTATTCCACTGTTTGGTTGGGAAGAGACATGTAATTACCCCATGAGCCTTTCTCCTGCTATCACCTCAGCTCATTAAATTAAATCCACTGACACTTGGTATGCTCAGTAATTCTGGTGAATACCTTGCCCTCAAAGTTCTACGACTTGAATATAGCACTCCAGACAACTCTGAGATGAGCATTTTACAGAGACTTGGAAAACTTGAGGTTGCCTTTTTCCACACCCATGTCCCCACACAAGATCAATTCCTCTGTCTTGGTCTAAAGCCACTTGGGTGTACTCTTCGGGAGAGGTTTAATTCTGGAGTTGATGCACCTAGTGATATTCCTTCTCTCACCATATTAGTGAGGACACTCTTGATGAAGGTGCTTGCTTTTCATCAGATGGGAATATGCCATGGTGGTAGGTGGATTTTCACTCTCTGATAACCACTCAATACTGTACAACAAGCATTCATTAACCAAGCAAATTATTTTGCTTAGATATCAGCCCCAATAATATATCCCTAGGGATACATCCTGAAGCTTTTATGGATGAAGCTCTATTTAAGACTTTTCAGTACGATCGAAAATCTTATGTTATACTTCAGAATGTTTCAGATTTGAATACACCACCTCCACGCCCAGGTAATCTGCCTGAGTATATCATTCTCCGTTATGGGACTCCTCTGAAAACAAATGCACAAGATATGTCGCTGGTTGATATAATTGATTTTGGCAAAGGTTTGTCACCATTATTCCAATTGAATATCTGATAGGCATGTCCTTCGCCTATTGTTTCAGCTCCTCTGACCCAACCGATGTAGTAGAATAGTTGTACTAACAAGTGCTTAAACAAGCGTTTGACATGCCTTCAAAATCAAATGTCCTTGGGACAGAAAATTACAGCGCACCAGAGCTGGAGCGTACCGGTGCAAATACTGCGACTGTGAAGTCTGATCTTTGGAGTCTAGGCTGTGTGGTAGGCTAATATATCCCATTAGTTGTGATCATATCTAAGTGAATTTTTTTCCATTTCCCAGTCATGTCTAACTTTATCTAGTTGGCATATGCAACAACCGACTCGCATCTATTTGACATGAAAACCGATCTAACAGATTATCTTGGTATGCTCCCCACACACAGTTTAATACCTGTTCTTCCTGTTTCTGTGTAAAAATCCATTGGGTCTGACCTCAATTGTCACACAGCAGCCGACCACAAAGCACAGCTTTCCTTCATTGAGTCTCATCTTTCGATGAGCCAGCTGAAAGATGAGCCAGAATATTGCCATGCATTTGCACGACTCATACATTCTTTAGTGCAAGTTGACCCGAAAGATCGTGATCCGGAAGCCGCCAAGAAATATCTCAAAGCTCTTGAAGACTGGAGGCCCCGTAATTAGCAGAAATTCCCATTTTATGGTGCTGGGTATTAAAAAGAAGAAAAAACGAGAAAGGGAGGGATCCTCTGTTATCTTACAGCGTGCTGCCATCCACTGAATTTCTTCAGTTTCCTGGATGTTTCATTACAGCATAAAAAGCAAGAATCTTCAAAACAGGACCTGTAACATGACTAGCGTACGCTCTCATATTGCCCATTGAGGAAAAACAGAGGCAGAGAGATAAGGAAATGAGGCGGAAGAGCCGGAATGAAAAATGAGAAGCAAACAAAGATCAGATCAGAACTGGAAAATTTTACAAACCTCTTGACGGTCCTTTACAAGTAGTTAGTGTTCTCAGTAGTATTCTAGAGATAGAGGAAATCTGGTATGGATATTCTAGAGGAGAAGGGGGGTTTTCTAGAAATAAGGTTGCCTTCGTTGAGCCAAAAGTTGCTTTTTAAAACGTTGAAGTAAAATTCCTGTCGGACGTCATTTTCGAGCAACCCGGTCGTTTTGGCGCGGCACTTGCATTGTGGGCCATGATCTGCGATCCGAAAGCATGGTCCCCGGGAATGGCAGGCGATGCAGATCAACGGGCCGTCAAAATTTCGGCCGGAAAAACTTTCGGCGTGAATCTCAATGATCATTGGCCATCTTTCGGTCTCCATCTTTTGGGTGTATTAATAATGTTTGGAGTGGGTGTATTTTAGATTGGATGGAATCACCTAATCTGAACCCCAGCATTTTGAATCCGAATCTATCTCAAAGGTCAATGCTAGAGATACTAGTATCACTGAGCAGATATGTATATCAACCAAACCATTTGTGCCATGTTATAGTTACTGAACAGATCCCAAGTTTTGACCTCAGAGCGCACGCAACAGCAAGACCAAAACGTCAGCTGCGAGCAGTAA